CGCAGGGCCTGCAAGACGGAGCTCTTCCGCCAGGCTTTTGAGTAGGAGCTGCCGCCACCACTATTCCACCATCGTTACCCCTCGACCATCAATTGTGCAGATATTAAATGGGGTGCGAGATGTTCCTGGATGAAGATGGGATGGTTGTGCTGCTAGGAGGTATGTCGTTGGCCTGGAATGAATAACTTTTACCAGACCCCCATCTTGCAACTACCGATTCAGTGACATCTAGAGCACTGACACTTTAGTGTTTTGTACTGTATTTATCTATTAGTATTTATTTATTGGATTTATATCTGTTTTATTCTGTTTTTATCTGTTTTAACTTTGGCACTTGTGCCTCTTTGTTAGCCGCCCTGAGCCTTCGGGGAGGGCGGGATATAAATCCAATAAATAAATAAAGAATCAAAGCTTGGATATCTGATGAAGGGAGCTTTGACTCTCCAAAGCTCACACCCCGAAAACCTTGCTGTTCTCTGAGGTCATTCTGGATTCGAATCAAGCCTCAGACAGATCAATGGTGTTCTCCTTCCTCATGCTGAACTGGGGGACTTCCTCACCTCTACCGCTATCCAAAGAAACCAAGAGCCTTTTCCCCCTTCACTGTGGAGAGCTTAAGGTGAACATATGAAATCAAATGAGAGCCAGTTTGGTGTAGTGGTTAAGAGCGCGGACTCTAATCTAGGAGAACCGGGTTTGATTCCCCACTCCTCCACTTGCACCTGGCTGGATGACCTTGGGTCAGTCACAAGTTCTCTCAGAGCTGTTCTCTCAAGGGCAGTCCTCGAAAGAGCTCTCTCAGCCCCACCTACCTCACAGGGTGTCTGTTGTGGGGAGGGGAAGGGAAAGGAGTTTGCAAGCCGCTCTGAGACTCCTTTGGGTAGTGAAGGGTGGGGTATAAATCCAATCTCTTCTTCTTCTTCTATGAAATGGCCACACCACTGCCTCCAGTTTGGTATAGTGGTTAAGAGCAGCAGCGGACTAATCTAGAGAACCGGGTTCGATTCCCCAGTCCTCCACATGCAGCCAGCTGGTTGACCTTGGGTCAGACAGTTGTCTCAAGAGCAGTTTCTGTCAAGAGCTCTCTCAGCCCCGCCTACCTCTCAGGGTGTCTGTTGTGGGGAGGGGAAGGGAAAGGAGACTGTAAGCCGCTCTGAGACTCCCAAGTGAAGGGCGGGGTATAAATCCAGCTCTTGTTCTTCCACGGGCAGTGTCAGACAGAGAAAAGTCCTTCCCAGCACCCACTATCTGAAATTCTTGCAACTAGAAATTGCAGGGACTGAACTTGGGGCCTTCTGCAGATAAACCAGCTTCCCTAACACTGAGCCACGGGTTAGAAATTAGATTATGTTGAGCCTTGTTGATTCATCCTATGAACACAAGCAATTATGCTTGTATAAATGCCACAGGGTCATATACATCCAGTAGAACCCTATCCATATTGTGTTCTTTCTTCTATTCTGAGAGACTGGTGTAGTCGTTAAGAGCAATGGACTCTAATCGGGAGGACCAGGTTCGATTCTGCACTCTTCCACATGAAGCCAGCTGGGTGACCTTGGGTCAGTCACAGCTCTTGGAGAGCTCTCTCAGCCCCCAAAAGATGTTTAGCTCGCCACCTAGTGGCGCATAATGCTAAAAGAGCTAGAACTTCGGGCTGCCAGACAGTCTTGTGATTGTCAGCAAGCTGCCATGGTGTTCTGTGTTGCTGGTACCTCTGTACAGTTGCTACCCCCCCCTGCCTGTGCGCTATTATTTTACTCTGCTGTAATGCCTAAGCCAAACAACTGGAGGATGTATTGGGGGAGTTCGCTTCACTGCCAGCTTGTTGCTTTTAGAGCCTGGGAACTGCACCTGTGTTATGTCTGGAGATAGCCTGGTTCTCAGGGAATGAGCGCGAAACCGTTTCCGTCCACCCGCCAGCGGGAAAGTGACCCATTGGTTCTGTACCCATTTCAAATCCCTTTATTATGCTTGCCCTAACTGTTTGTAGTCAGTTCTAACAAAGAACGTGTTTGAGTGTCTTTCCAATGCTTTGAAATAAATTTTGCTTTTCTTGAAAACGTGGATTTATTCTCGATGCTTGGGGATCCAACATATTGTTAGAACTCTCATCGTTCCTGTCGTCCCGAGTCTGGCGACAATGCCATACGATAATTAATTATTATTCTATTCGGAAAGGTAGCTTCAGCACCAGATTGGGTCAAAACTAGCCCAGGGGGACCATATCAGACGAAGGGAGCTTTGACTTTCGAAAGCTTATGCCCCCCCAAATCTTGTTGGTCTCCATGTGCTGCTGGACTCCAGCCCAAGGAGAATGCCTGTCATGATTGAGGGTTTTCTTATTTTCTTCATATCTTGTTTCCCTTCCCTATGTGGTCTTCCTGATCTTTGAACTGCACTGAAGAACTCAGGAAGCGGGGAGGAGGAACCAGAGGACATGCCTGATGAGAGCTAGCTAATAAATTCTGCTTCCTGCTGCCGTGGGCCGGCTTGACCAGCCTGAGTCCCGTGTGGCTGAAGACTCCTCAGGAGTCCAGGAGCCACGTGCAGCCAGCTCAAGTTAATGAATTAGAGACACAGGAGCCTCCAGATTCATTGCCGGCAGCTGACCCTGACAGTGTTCCCTCTAAGCTGAGTTAGTGTGAGCTAGCTCACAGTTTTTTAGCCTCCAGTTCACACATTTTTGTCTCAGGAAGGAGGGGGCTCCAGAGCAAACTAATTTATGCAGCAGCCAAATCGCTCGCTCACAACTTTCATGCCAGTAGCTCACAAAGTAGATTTTTTGCTCACAAGACTCCACAGCTTAGAGGGAACACGGCCTGACACACCCACACACAGCTCTGAAGTAGCCGACCAGTTCCACCATTCATTGAACAGTGAAGGGAAAAGCTTTGGCAAGACTTAAGGACACGCAGACAGAGTGCTCGCCTCTTGGCTCAGCACCAGCTGCTTAATGATAGCAGTTCTGAGTGAGTGCGGGGGGCATCTCCGAGCAGATGGCTGTAAATTAGGCTTGTTAAGGCATGCCTATATAAATCAGACCTGGAGAACTGCGGGTTGCGGAAGTAACTTGCCACAACACTGTGAACTTTGCAACCACAACTCCGGACTCTACCTGCCTCCTGTGACCTTTGGACTGACCCTCAACTTTGCTTTTCGGACCTGCCTTGGACTGCCTTGACTCTGCATTCCTGAACAACCCATGGGCTCTGACTGCTGTTAAACCAGTATTTGACCCCTGGACTGGACTCTTGGCTCTGAGGCCTTGCTTGGTTGGCCTAGCTCTGTTGCCTTACTCTGCCTCTATCCCAGGACACCTGTAAGCCACCTGGCCTTAAGTTTGAGTACCAGAAAAAAGTCTAGAAGAGGCCTTCTCCCATGAAGCAAAACCCCTGTAACACACCCACCGTCCCTTCCCTTCCGGCAGCATGGTGGAACGCTTGCACCCTGCAAATCCAGTCCTAAGTATGGGCCTGAATGTCCCCAGAGGAGAGTCTGTGGGCTTCGGCTCCTACCTGGGCCTGCTCAAGGGAAGAGAACCGTTCCCAGCTGACCAGCGCTGTTGCTTTGCCCTTCTGGGCGTTCCAGACCTCGCCGATCCACTCCGTCAGGGCTTCCGGTGAAGCGGCATGCAGTAGCTGAAGCCTGGCTTCAATGGCCTCTTTCCGGTTCTCATAAAAGCTGTCGGTGTACAGATCCAGGGGGCAGGACTGTGGGGAAACACCAGCGTGCCAGTGCACGCACAGATCACTGAAGCACCTTTGGTACAGACCAGAAACTGGCTTTTTTGAAACTGTATATCTGCAGGAGCTGCGGTGGCTCAAGTGGTTAAGACGCTGAACTGCAGGCTGTGGAAGGTTGGTAGTCCAGCAGTTCGAGACCCGAGTGTGCCGCATGACGGAGTGAGCCCCCGTCTCTAGTTCCCAGCAACCCACCTCTGTTCGTCTCTTGCCTTGAAAACCCTATGGGGGTTACATAAGTACATAAGAGATGCCAGTGTTGGATCAGGCCAAAGGCCCATCCAGTTCAACGCTCTGTATCACACAGTGGCCAGAAATACCAGTGCCATCAGGAGGTTCACCAGTGGGGCCAGGACATTAGAAGCCCTCCCACTGTTGACCCCTCCAAGCACCAAGATGACAGAGCATCACTCCCCCCAGAGCCCCTATCTATACCTTGTGGCTAAGAGCCACTGATGGACCTCTGCTCCATATGCTTATCTAATTCCCATTTGAAGCCATCCATTCTTGTAGCCGCCACCACTTCCTGTGGCAGTGAATTCCATGTTTTCATCACTCTTTGGGTGAAGAAGGACTTCCTTTTATCCGTTCTAACCCGACCGCTCAGCAATTTCATGGAGTGCCCACGAGTTCTTGTATTGTGAGAAAGGGAGAAAAGTACCTCTTTCACTACCTGCTCTTTCCCATGCATAATCTTATAAACCTCAATCATGTCACCCCTCAGTCGTCGTTTCTCCAAGCTAAAGAGCCCTAAGCGCCTTAACCTTTCCTCATAGGGAAAGTGTTCCAACCCCTTTATCATTCGAGTTGCCCTTTTCTGCACTTTTTCCAAAGCTACAATATCCTTTTTAAGGTGCGGGTTGCCATAAGTTGCCAGATCTCGGAAACTAAGCTGGGTCAGCCCTGTTTTGTAGTTGGACGGGAGACCCCCAAGGAAGTCCAGGATCACTACACAGAGGCAGGGCCATGGCAAACCTCCTCTTCACGTCTCTTACCTTAAAAACCCTGTGGGGTCAACCATAAGCCGGCTGCAACTTAAGGGCAAAACACACACACGTGCACACCCCCACCTGGTAAGGGTTCCTGAAGACATCAGGGATTCCATCCATGAAGACGATGTCCCACATCAGGAGCCCGTAGAGCGTGCTGAACGTCGACCCTTCGCCGTGAATGCCTGAATCAGATGTGCAGACGCAGTTGTCATAAGAACATAAGAGACGCCAATGTCGGATCAGGCCAAAGGCCCATCCAGCCCAACACTCTGTATCACACAGTGGCCAGAAATACCAGTGCCATCAGGAGGTCCACCAGTGGGGCCAGGACACTAGAAGCCCTCCCACTGTTGACCCCCCCAATGAGTCATGAGACTCATTTCTTAAAAACGAGGATAAACCAATCTCACAAATTAGTGAACTCCTGAGTTCCTTAGATCTCTTCATCAGGTTTGATGTTTAGTACAAAAGGTGGGTTTACTACTTCTTCCCCATTCTTAGACCAAAGTCATAGAATTATAGAGTTGGGACCTCCAGGGTCATCTAATCCAATCCCCTGCAGCATACCATAGCTTAGAGGGAACATTGGTCGTGAGACTCATTTCTTAAAAACGAGGCTCAACCAATCTCACAAATTAGTGAACATCAGGTTTGATGTTTAGTACAAAAGGTGGGTTTACTTCTTCTTCCCCGTTCTTAGACCAAAGTCATAGAATTATAGAGTTGGAAGGGACCTCAAGGGTCATCTAGTCCAATCCCCTGCAGCATACAGGAAATTCAGAAATAACACCCCCCGTGAACGCTGTTCCACACCCAGAAGATGACAAAAAACCCTCCAGGATCCCCGGCCGAACTGGTCTGGAGAAAAATTCCTTCCTGACCCCAAAGTGGTGATTGGCATTTCCCTGGGTGTGTAAGGAAGGGCCACGAGAACTAAGCCCTGAGGCAACCCTTCCTGCCCTCCCTCTCGTGATCTGCTTAAGTCCTGAACAATAAAGAAAAATTTAAATAAAATAAAACCCATGTCTAAAAACACCTCCTTTCGACAGTTCTCCACAGCCTCTAGAAATCTAGCAACAAAATAAGTACGTTTGGGATCTGACTCCTCTAAGGGAGAAGGGGGATTACCAGAAAATGGGGTGTTATGTCTGGGGCGGTGATGTTCTGCATTCTTGGTGCCTGGGAGGCAACAGTGAGAGGGCTTCCGGAGTTCTGGCCCTGCTGGTGGACCTCCTGAGGGCACCTGGGTTTTGGCCACTGCGTGACACAGAGTGTTGGACTGGATGGGCCATTGGCCTGATCCAACATGGCTTCTCTTATGTCTGGGGCGGTGATGTTCTGCATTCTTGGTGCCTGGGAGGCAACAGTGAGAGGGCTTCCGGAGTTCTGGCCCTGCTGGTGGACCTCCTGAGGGCACCTGGGTTTTGGCCACTGCGTGACGCAGAGTGTTGGACTTCTCTTGTGGTCTTCTCTTGTGGTCTTCTGTCTAGGTCATGTGATGCTCTGTATCCTTGGTGCTTGGGAGGGGCCACAGCGGGAGGTCTTCTGGAGTTCTGGCCCCACTGGTGGGCCTCCTGATGGCCCCTGGGTTTTGGACACTGTGTGACACAGAGTGTCGGCCTGGATGGGCTGTTGGCCTGATCCAACATGGCTTCTCTTACGTCCTTATGACTCGAGCAAGCTCATACCCCAGAAAATCTCATTGGACTCTAAGGTGCCCCATGGCTCGAATCTAGTTCTTCTACTGCAGACCAACACAGCTACACTCTGAAGCTATCCTCATTGCCGACTTGTTATTACAAACTAGCCAAATGCCTCCCAGGCCAGGTAGGCGTATGGAGGGGAGTCCTGAAATCTCCCAGTGGATCAGTGACGGGTTGGGCCACCAGCAACAGGAAGACAGGGAAGATTTTGCCGACCACCCCCATTAAGGTGGGGTGGAGCTGAACCTGCTACCTATCCGAAGCAAGCGACCCCTTTCACTGACAATTCGGAATTAACCACTCCTGTCTGCTGAGCCCTACTTCTTCATCCGCAAAACTCTTCTCTGGGTTCTATTTCTTGGATGCACAGTGGATGGATAATACCATACCTTGGTCAAAGCCCTTCTGCTTGTAGTGGGCCAAGGCCAGTTCCTCTACAGAGCACACGACCACGGACAGCTCGTTATCTTCTCCCCCATCTTCCGGTCCCGGGTCTTCCGTGATGAACACCGATTTCCCCATCCCAGTTTGTGGGCAGAGTTTTCCTTTGATGGTAACCTGAGCAAGAGAGGAAGAAGAGGAGATTGGATTTATACCCCGCCCTTCATTCAGCGTCTCACAGTGGCTTACAGTCTCCCTTCCCCTCCCCACAACAGACACCCTGTGAGGTAGGTGGGGCTGAGAGAGCTCTTTCGAGGACTGCTCATGAGAGACCAGCTCTGAGAGAACTTGTGACTGACTCAAGGTCACACCAGCAGCTGCAAGTGGAGGAGTGGGGAATCAAACCCGGTTCTCCCCGATCAGAGTCCGCGCTCTTAATCACACCAAACTTGCTCTTAAACACTATACCAATCTTGCATAGAGACTTTCCATTCTACATTGTGGAACTTGGTATTCAGAGATACAGACTCCTGACTTGAACTCGGCAACTCCAAGTAAGCAGCAAGCTGAAAACTGGAAAAGGTTGGCGTTTCAGCCGCCATGCCCTTGTTGGCAATTTAACTCCATTTGGGGACTGTCAAATAAGTCTGTTGTCTGGCTGGGGGGAAACCAACTCTCGCTGGCGCCACCCACACCCTCCCTGAAGGCGGCCTTTTCCCTCCTGCGACAGCTCTCTCGTGGGGGTGGCGTGGCACAGAATAACGGGATGGTGGCGGAGACGCCTTGCGAGCGCAGAAACAAGAGGCAGCAAGACCCACGAGCGTGGCGTCCAGACGGCTGGGCATGAGCCCCAAAATAGATGCTCCTACCCAAAAATTCAGGAAAAACAGAATTGTGGGGGGAAATGGCAAAAGACACGTGCCGACGGAATGCAGAAAAATGTGAAATAGAGTTCATGCGTTTTTGCCGTACATGCATAGCGTACGTCTCAGGCCAGGTCCACGCCTCCATCAGAACAAAGCAGAGTGCAGCGACGGTAACCCTCTGCTGTGCCGTTTTATTTATTTGCATCATTTGTACCTCGCCTTTCTCCCTGACGGGGACCCAGGGTGGCTTACACCATTCTCCTCTCCTCCATATCATCCTCACAACAACCCTGTGAGGTAGATTAGGCTGACAGAGTGCGACTGGCCCAAGGTCACCCAGCGAGCTTCCATGGAATGAGTGAAGACTCGAACCCAGCTCTCCCAGATACCAGTCCAACACTCTTCAGCACTACAGCACATGTTCCCTTACATTAATAATTCCCTCTAAGTGGAAAACTAGCACAGTGCACCCGAAGCCTAATGCGCTAGATTTCTTTTTGCAGGGAGGGTTTACACGGGGGAACGCTAGAAACGACCCCCTGTCTGATTATGAAAAGATGGCCTTTTTGCCCCTTCATTTCTAGTAGACTGCGGGGAAATAAAAAATTTCAAAACACGGTTTTACAAAATGGTCTCATGCTCTTGCCCTCCCTGCCAAAAAAAGGCATGACTTCCCACCCCGAAGTCTTAAGAATTTCATAACATGCTCCTCAAAAAAATACCAACTCAAACACTGTAATTATCTTTGTGCCAAAGCAAACTTGCTGGCCATGATGGGCCGCCCACTGCCCAGGCTGTGACAACATTTTTCTCCCTGGATCTTGGAAGGGTTCCGACGTCCGGCATAAGCAAGAAAGACGACCCATGGCAGAATCAGACCAAGGCTACGGGCATCCCCATTTCCAAATGTACTTTCAGAAAACCCAAAAGCACAGTATGAAGTCAGTCATCCTCCACTGGGTGGTCTTCAGAGATACCCTGCCTCTGAACATGGATGTCCTAGTTGATCGGCACAGATGACAGCCAAGCTACAAAAGCACAGAGCGCATGCAAAGGGACAAAAAAAATAACACTAGGTACACTGGATTTCTAAAACTAACCTGGGAAAGGAGCTGTTATATTAATCTGCTACATATTGCACCACAGAATTCCCATCTAGTTATTAAAATCCACTGGGCATAATTTAATAACACGGATATACCATTTAGGGGAAATCTTTGGTACATTCATAAGAACATAAGAGATGCCAATGTTGGATCAGGCCAAAGGCCCATCCAGTCCAACACTCTGTATCACACAGTGGCCAGAAATACCAGGTGCCATCAGGAGGTCCAGCAGTGGGGCCAGGACACTAGAAGACCTCCCACTGTTGACCCCCCCCCAAGCACCAAGATGACAGAGCATCACTTGCCCCGGAGTTCCTATCTATACCTTGTGGCTAACAGCCACTGATGGACCTCTGCTCCATATGCTTATCTAATTCCCTTTTGAAGCCGTCCATGCCTGTAGCCGCCACCACTTCCTGTGGCAGTGAATTCCATGTGTTAATCACTCTTTGGGTGAAGAAGTACTTCCTTTTATCTGTTCTAACCCGACCGCTCAGCAATTTCATGGAGTGCCCACGAGTTCTTGTATTGTGAGAAAGGGAGAAAAGGACCTCTTTCTCTACCTGCTCTATCCCATGCATAATCTTGCAAACCTCGATCATGTCGCCCCTCAGCCGTCGTTTCTCCAAGCTAAAGAGCCCTAAGCGCTTTAACCTTTCCTCATAGGGGAAGTGTTCCAACCCTTTTATCATTCGAGTTACCCTTTTCTGCACTCTTACCAAAGCTAGGGTACCTAGAGGGGAGCTCTTGGTAGATTGCTCCTGTTGGAACTGCAGTTCCCGGGAGGTCGACTGAAACCCTAGCCTGGATGTATGTCGGAATCAGAGTTAACGTCTTCCTTTTTATTCAAGCCAGCAAACATTCAAAGAGCAAAGGAGGAGAAATGGGGAGGAGGCTCTTCCCAGCTGCACATCTCAGCCGTGTTCCCGTCTCCTCCCCGCCTGCAGATCTAAAGGGCTGGGCAAAGCCAGAGGCACGAGCCCTTGGAGGGCAGCCAAAGGGCTCTTGGCTCTTCGGCTCTGGGTGGCAGCCTGGAGGGGGCCTACCTGAAGGAAGTCCCGTTCAGGATGCATCTTTTTTTGTCTGATTGTTGTGATTGTTTTAAGTTCTGTAATTTGGCGTGGAAATTTCTGTAAGCCAGTGTGGGTCCCTTGGGAGGAAAGTGGCACAGAAAGGCCTAAACGATAACAATTTGGTGGGTAAGAATGGGTACGGGGAGGGATGTTGTTTAAAGCTAGAATTTTTTACTATTGCTTGTTAGTTAAAATTATAACTTGCCCTTCCCAAAAAGGGCTCAGGGCAGGTGACAACATAGTGCACGAACAATTAAAATCAGGTAATATAATTAATTCTTAAAACAGCTAAAACCATTAGTTAAAAGATGGCGAATCAAATCTAACAGTTCAGACCCCCCTATAAGCCGGACTGGAGCCACACCAAGCCCTTACTTGCCACCTCATAACCAGAGGTCAACTTTTTTATTATTATTATTATTATTAGAAAAATTAATCACTGTATCTCGGCTTGCATCACCACGTAAGATAAGAGCATCCAACCAGGATCGCAAACCTTGGGAGTCCAAGGACAGCGATGGCGACCTTACCTTCTCTGTCTCTTTCAAGTGCTGGTGCAGATTAAGGGCCAGGCGGTCCCACCAACGGCCTCTGCTGTCGGTGCAATAAACGTCTTGAGCCAGGAGGTCCTCGAGCTGCCCCACGGCGTCCTACATGCAAGGAGGGGCTCCCCGTTAGAACCAGGCAGAAATCTGCCTCCCACCCAACTGTCATGCTGACGACTGAGGGGTGACATGAAAGGGGTTTACAAAATTATGCATGGGGTAGAGAAGGCACAGAAAGAAGGACTTTTCTCCCTTTCTCACAATACAAGAACTAATGAGCAGCAGGCTAAGAACAGATCAAAGGAAGTACCTCTTCATTCAAAGAGTCATGAACACATGAAATTCACTTCCGCAGGAAGTGATGGCGCCTCCAGGCATAGGCAGCTTCAAGAGGGGGACTGGAAGTATCTGTGTGGCCATAGGTAGGGATAATTGATTAACTGTAAGCCGCTCAGAGACCCTTTGGGGGGTTCGAGCGGGGTAGTAAGTCGAAAGATAAATAAATAAAATAAACATCTTGAGCAGAGGTCCATATATGGCTATTAACCACAAGGTATAGATGGCTCAAGTGGCTAAGACGTTGAACTGCAGACCGGAAGGTCGGTAGTTCAGCAGTTCAAGTCCTGAGTGCCGCATGACGGAGTGAGCTCCCGTCTCTGGCCCCAGCTCCTGCCAACCTAGCAGTTTGAAAGCATGGAATTGCAAGTAGATAAACAGGTACCGCTTTGGTGGGAACGTAACAGCGTTCTGTGCGCCTCAGCGTCTAGTTATGCCAGCCACATGACCATGGAAATGTCTTTAGACAGCGCTGGCTCTCTGGCTTGGAAAAAGAGATGAGCACTGCATCCCTAGAGTCGGATTCGAATGGCTTTCAAGCAAGGGAAACCTTTACCTTTAACTCTGTCTGGGTTAGTGATGCTCTGTCTTCTTGGTGCTTGCGGGAGGCAACAGCGGGAGGGCTTCTGGAGTTCTGGGCCTGCTGGTGGACCTCCTGATGGCACCTAGGTTTTTGCCACTGTGTGACACAAAGTGATGGACAGGATGGGCCACTGGCCTGTTCCAATGTTGTTCTCCAGATTAGAGTCCACCGCTCTTAACCCCTACAACCAAACTGGCTTGTGCATGTGTAGACAGGGAAAACCATGCAGGGGTGTAAGAATCCCTTTTCACACACACCCCCGTACAGCCCTCATCCTGAAGGGAACACAGATCTTTAGGAAAGTACGAGCCGTCTTGGATTCCCAACTTCTTACCTCGTACATGCGAAGTCTCTGCAAGATCTCGACACCCCGAGACAGGATCCGGGTATACACCCACCCAAACGTGAAGCACCGGAGGTATTCTGGGAGGGCTGCGTGATGCCTACCAGGAAAAACACACCTCGTTTGTATAACACGGGAAGGTTCTCACATTCAGAAAGCCGACTGCCAAGATCTTCCTGGTGGTTAAGCGCTGATTGTCACATGCTATGTGAATCCTCCCCCTCGACGTGTCGGTGACAGAAATGATTGTATGAGAAGCCCCGCCAGTTCTGTTCAAAGATCCCGGGAACTGCTTGCTGAACAGTAAACGCGGCTCCTCGTTCGCAGATGGGGGCCCACAGAAAATTATGCCACACACAAACAGAGAGAATTGGGATTTTGTCTCCATGGAACACAGAAACGTAGCTGCCATCCTTAAACTGGAAATCTGCCATTTTTTAAGGACTTGGTTGTCTTTCCACGTGGAGGCTCATTTGGAAACGTTAGAGCGCCAGAGTGTGACGTCAAAAAAAGGTGGAACCTTCTGCATCAGGCTAACGAACGGTGTTCTTGGGCAGGCCCTGGTCATCTGAAGGGGATTTTTGCAGGAGAACTTCCCTATGGATTTCAACTTGCCCCTTTCACCACCAGTTAGTTCTCAAGAAGGACTGACATAGGTATACCCACCAGTTACTGCTTTGGCACTGTTACGTCACCACCCCAATCGGCGGTCCCTTCCGTGCTGGATTCGTACCACCCCTAACAGGCTGGTATCGGTTTCGCACAGGATCATGGTTTAGGGAGTGTGAGCAGGGTCAGAGGTCTGTGAGTTCCCAACCACACTGCTTCCATGGATTTCCTCCTTTCGCCCTGGTTAAAGGCACAGAGCATACCAGCCTACTCCACAAATCATGGAAGTGTCACCCCCAATATGGTGGCAGAAAGCGCTGTCAAGCTGTAGCCATCTGATGGCAATTCTATAGAGTTTCCAAGGCAAGAGACATTCAGAGGTGGGTTGCCATTGCCTGCCTCTGCGGAGCAACCCTGGACTTCCTTGGGGGTCTCCCACTCAGGTGCTAACCAGGGTCGACCCTGCTTAGTTTCTGAGATCTGATGAGACTGAGCTTGCCAGGTCAAGGCAAGAGACAAACAGAGGTGGTCTGCCATTGCCTGCCTCTGCGTAGCAACCCTGGACTTCCTTGGGGGCCTCCCACTCAAGTGCTAACCAGGGTCGACCCTGCTTAGCTTCTGAGATCTGATGAGACTGAGCTTTTGCCAGGTCAAGGCAAGAGACAAACAGAGGTGGTTTGCCATTGCCTGCCTCTGCGTAGCAACCCTGGGCTTCCTTGGTGGTCTCCTACTCAAGTGCTAACTAGGGCTGACCCTGCTTAGCTTCTGAGATCTGATGAGACTAACTTGCCAGGTCAAGGCAAGAGACAAACAGAGGTGGTTTGCCATCGCCTGCCTCTGCATAGCAACCCTGGGCTTCCTTGGGGGTCTTCCACTCAAGTGCTAACTAGGGCTGACCCTGCTTACCTTCCGAGATCTGACAAGATCAGGACAGTCTGGGCTATCCGGATCAGGGCTCACCCCCCCCCCCCCAAATAACCGACCAGATTTTCCTGCAGTCTTTCGCGGCTTCCCCACTTTTTCCTTGATTTTTTTAAAAAAATTCTGCCAATTGCTGCTTAGCCTTAAAGCTACAAAGCAAGGGGTTTTTTGGTGTGTTCTCTTGCATCAAGCCGTTCGAGTATTATAGTTGCCTACAAATTCTCCTGCAAGATTTTCTGAGGTGTGCAGGGAAGGCCCATCCCTTCGTTCCCACGTTACCTCAGTGAAGCCAAATCCTCGAGGCTTCTGAAAACAGGCAACTTCGTGGGCTTTAGGCTATTTATGGCCAAGAATACAACTCCTTTTTCAAAGCTGCACCAGAAACAAGATCCTACTGGTGATCCCCGACCCAAAAGATGTCCCTCTGGCCTTGACCAGGGCCCAGGGCCTTTTCAGTGGTGGCTCCATACTGGTGGAATGAGCTCCCGCTAGAGATCAGGGCCCTGCGGGACCTTTTACAGTTCCGCAGGGCTTGTAAGACGGAGCTCTTCCACCATGCTTTTGGGTGTGGCAAAGGATGTCAAATATCATCTGGCCCCTCCTGTTACCTTTCTATTACCATCGGTACCATGGTCTTCACATTTCGAGGACATTGAACGATAATCGTCTTGGTTTACCCAAGGTAAAAGGTAAAGGTTCCCTTGCTCGAAAGCTAGTCGAATCCGACTCTAGGGTTGCGGTGCTCATCTCCGTTTCCAAGCCGAAGAGCCAGCGCTGTCCGAAGACGTTTCCGTGGTCATGTGGCCGGCATGACTAAACACCAAGGCGCACAGAATGCTGTTACCTTCCCACCGAAGTGGTACCCATTTATCTACTTGCAATTTCTTGCTTTCGAACTGCTAGGTTGGCAGGAGCTGGAACTAGAGATGGGAGCTCACTCAGTCATGCGGCAACCCGGGTCTCGAACTGCTGAACTACTGACCTTCCACAGCCTGCAGTTCAGCGTCTTAACCACTTGAGGTAGGGTACTTATAATCTGGAATCCCTTGAGGGATGTAGCCCTTTCTGTCTTTTAATTGTCTAACACCAGGGCACCAGTGTAATAGTTGTGATGTACTTTGATCACCGTCATTCAAGGGTTAAGCTTATAGTTTTAATCTTGATCTTATTGTTTTATGCGAATGTTGTAACCCGCCCTGAGCCCGCTTGTGGGAAGGGACAGGATAGAAACTGAACCAAATACATAAATACTTCTGCCTCTTGCAAACGATCTTTTCCCTCCCTCCCCGAGTTCATACCTCAGAGAAGGATGCGTCTCCAACGTCCGCCAGGTGTCCTCCGCAGCCTTGTACAACCTGTGCGCCTCTTCCCAGTCTCGATTCGCCATGGCCACAGCGATGTCATTGGAGGTGTGCACGGCGGTGGCGTATCTGGGGCAAATGAGTCGTGCTGTGATTTTTATCGGGATGTTGAATGCCCTGCCTTATCACCCGGGCTTGAGTTTCTTTCACATATATGGCTTTTTTTGAATTACAACCTTAACTCTATATAGAAAAGGTTGGTGAGTTTACTAGTTTGGAAGTTCCGAGCCTGCCTTTTAGAAATCGGTTACGATATTATTGCAGAGGCCACTGTTACTGGTTTTGAGGGGCTTTTTTTTAGTATACTCTGAGAATATTGTTAAGATACCATTTTGGAAGCTTCCAAGCTTTAAGTACTGACAGGATGGTTTCCGCTTATGTAAGATTTATGTATAAAAATGCACACAAAAAGCACAGCTGCTAAGGCTTGAGCTTCCATCCATTTAGAAGAGAAGAAGAAGAGATTGGATTTATACCCCGCCCTTCACGACCCAAAGGTGTCTCAGAGCAGGTTATAAACTCCTTTCCCTTCCCCTCCCCACAACAGACACCCTGTGAGGTGGGTAGGGCTGAGAGAGCTCTGACAGAAACTGCTTTTTTTCAAGAACAGCTCTGACAGAACTGTGGCTTGCCCAAGGTCATCTAGCGTAGCGGGGAGGGCGGGGTACAAATTGAACCAATAAATAAATAAAAGTGAAGGAGTGGGGAATCAAACCCGGTTCTCCCAGATTAGAGTCCGCGCACTTAACCACTACACCAAACTGGCTCTCTAGATGGCCCGTCTTCAGTTGTAACCTTCACTCCGAACAGAAACTGTTGGTGAGTTTACTATGATACTGTATTTTTTGAGAGCTTTGCGGTGCCCTTACAGAGTAGTTTGAGAATATTGTTAAGATACTATTTTAGAAGCCTCTGTAATTGGCTTTGAGGATGCATATCTAGAGTTTTGAGAATACTGTTATCACCTGGACAGGCAGGGTACATCACAGCCCCCAAACCCATGAGCTGAGCCCCAGCGCCTATTTGGAAGTGCCAGTACTGTGAGAAGTGACCGATATTCCCACGGGGGCCCACACTGGCATAGCTGGAGGTGGCAAAGCAGAGGTGAGGATACTTTGTTCAGGGAAGCCAGATACCCAGAGAGAAGGAGGTGGGCACAACCCTCTCCCTGATACACGGTGGATCTGGGTTGACCACTTCCTTTCTCCCTTCCTGGAGAAGCAAGAAGGGGCATACGAACCCCATGTTGTTCCTCCTCGTGCTCTAAAGGAAAAACCCAGGAGCCAAACGAAGGGCAAGCGCCACAAGACGGACCGCCAGCCCACCTTCTTACCTGAGGAAGTCCTCCCGATCCTGAAATATCAGATGTTCTGGCTTGACTGTGTAAGCCGGGAAAGCCGTCCGGCCCAGGTTGACCAGCAGCAGGGTGGAGAGCGCTTTCTGGCCGCCGCTCCCGGCCTCTTCCTCCTCCATCGGGTCCGTCAGGGTGAAGAGCAGCAGAACCCGCGAGAAGACATCCCGTGGGCCTTTGCAGAGCCGGATGGACTTCCCAGCCAGATCCTTTGCCCTGGGCACCAAGCATAAATTGACTCTCCTGTCTTTCATGTGGGGCCACAAACATTTTTTTTTAAACTTCATTAGGGATGGGCATGAAAAAAGGGCGGCTCGGGGAGGCCCACGAACCGAACCCTGAACCAAACTGATCCACAAAGGCCCACCCAAGCCAAGCCAAGCCAGCGAGTTGGATTCCCCCTTTCCAGGGGACCGCCCTGGAAGGGTTAAATGGCTGCTAGCCATTTAACCCTCCGGTTTTGCTCCCCACCACTTCAAGGGGGGGGGGAGTGAAACCTAAGGTTTTAATGACTTGCAGCCATTTAACCACTGAGCGGGTCTGCTGGTCAACAGTTAGGTTTAAATGGCTGGCCAGCCATTTAACCCTTCGGTTCGCTCCCTGCAAAACCAAAAGGTTCAATGGCTGCCAGCCAACCATTTAAACCTAACAGCTGACTGGCGGATCTGCTCAGCGGTTAGGTTTAAATGGCTGGCCCCAAATAGCCAAACCGAACCGGCCAAAAGTCCGGTAAATGTTTGGGGAAGGCACCTTCTCCGAACATCCGTTCCCGAGCTCTGAAGCAGCCCAAGTTCGGCACAAATTTTGGTTCGTGAGCAGGTTTCGTGCCTATCCCTATACTTCATTTACACCCTGCCTGCCTCCCCAGTGGGGGACCCCAAGTGGCTTACAGTACTCCTCCCCCTTCTCCTTTTTATCTTAGCAACAACCCTGTGAGGTAGATCAAGCTGAGAGTGTGTCACTGGCCCAAGGTTGCCCAGCAAGCTTCCGTGGCACAGTGGGGATTTGAACCTGGGTCCCCGGACCCTAGTCTGACCCTCTAATCACTGCACCACACTGGCTCTCTAAAACGAAGGGATTCTCGAGCACTGGGTACAATACGGTGTGGGCATATTCAACCATTTGGGTGACATGAGGGCAGGACTCTGGGTTGGGTCAGCGCACACCCAGTTCCGCCCTCCCCGGAGTTTACCTTTTCAGAATCACGCTCCCAATGCCCGATTCCTTGCTGCTGAAGATGGAGCGCTGCTTCGCCAGCTTGAAGAATCCCTCCAGGAGCTGCTGCTTCTGAGCGTTCGGGTTTGCCAGGTGGAACGTCTGCGCCAAGGTCTTCAACTCGGGGGCAGAGAGCAGGTCGAGCACTTCGGCCAAATCTCGCAGATCCGAGTCTGTAGGGGCACAGAGAAGACCGCGAGAACCATCTCGAGACGTCTTCCCGGAGGTGAAGAAACCCAGAATCCTGTACGGCTGCCGTCTTTCAAGACAAACGTGAAAGCGGCGGAGTGCGAGTCATAAGAACATAAGAGATGCCAATGTTGGATCAGGCCAAAGGCCCATCCAGTCCAACACTCTGTATCACACAGTGGCCAGAAATACCAGTGCCATCAGGAGGCTCGCTCACAACTTTAATGCCAGTGGCTCACAAAGTAGAATTTTTGCTCACAAGACTCCACAGCTTAGAGGGAACATTGGCCACAGCAGGCGGGCGGAGGGGGCGAGCTGCAAATGCAGGGGGGGCGGGATCGCTCGAGGGGAGGGGGCCTGTGCTCCCCCCCCCAATTCCCCCAGTGACCCCTGCTCTATGCCCAGAGGAAAGCAAAAAAACCCTCCAGGATCCCTGGGCCAATCTGGCCTGGAGGAGCATTCCTTCCTGACCCCACAGTGGCAATTGGCTTAACCCTGGGCATATAAGAAATGGCCCCGAGAACTGAGCACTGGCTCATCCCTTCCTGCCCTCCTCCTCAGGATCTGCCTAAATTCACAGGATCACCTAGCCTCTGTTTAGAAACCTCCCAAGGAGGAGAGCCCACCCCCAACTCCCGAGGAAGCCCGTCCCGCTGAGCCACTCTAACCGTCAGGAAGTTCTTCCTCATGTTTAGCCGAAAACTCTTCTGATTTAATTTCAAATTTCAGTTTGACTTAATCTCTCCATTTAAAAATACGGGCGCCTGTAGAAAAAAAAAAGGAATAAGAAAAAAAAACCCATTCTTGCTTGCCTTTTCCTCATGAGCTAGCTTTCAACATGCAGGGAGTTCCTTGGGCTTGCATTCTGACCTCCCATCGCGTGATATTGCTGAACAGGCAGCTTCATGGGAACCCCAGCACACTTTTTCGTCAATGGACATACCTGACTCTAGGAATCCGGCTCCAACGAGCTCTTCGATGTACGGGAACAAGTCATCGCCGATCTCGACGTACTTCAGCTTGCTGGTTTTTATCCAGCTCAGTTTGCGTTGAAAGAGCCTGACGTATAACTTCTGTCCACCGCCTGAAGTTTCAGTACAGGGAGAGAAGAAGAAGAGATTGGATTTCTACCCCGCCCTTCACTACCCAAAGGTGTCTCAGAGCAGCTTACAAACTCCTTTCTCTTCCCCTCCCCACAACAGACACCCTGTGAGGTAGGTGGGGCTGAGAGAACTTTTGACAGGAACTGCTCTTTTTCAAGAACAGCTGTGCCAGAGTTATGGCTTGCCCAAGGTCATCCAGCCAGGTGCAAGTGGAGGAGTGGGGAATCAAACCCGGTTCTCCCAGATTAGAGTCCGCGCACTTAACCACGACACCAAAGTGGTAGGAAGTGAGGATAGAGTGAGAAGTGCTTTCAAGGGACGGATCGCGCACCGGGAGAATAACTACAGGCCCTTTGAAATGGCTTAAGCAAAGTAGACAGCCCAAATATAAGCCGACGACACCTACCTTTAACGTGCAATGCAACAAATTCATTCCTGGTCCTCGGCCGTTATGAGAGGAGCAGCTAGAAAAGCTAAGCAGGAAGCCGGTTCCCATCTCATCTCTGCCACTGATTCACTACCTGGCCTTTGGCAAATCTCTCTTGGCCCCCAATCCACGGGGATGCTAAGAACGATGTGCTTCATAGGATTCCCAGACAACCAGTACAGTGTAGTGTTTACAGCATCAGACGTAAGGACTGGGGATAGCTGGATTCGAACCCACGCTTGCCACGGGACTCATGAAGAGACCCTGTGCCGGTCCCTCTGTTAGCTTGTCCACCCATGTGAGGAGATACCAAGCCCCCATTAAAAGTATCAGAAGCTCCCTGCATGCAGATCAGCCCTGTAGAAAGATCCTTGCTCTCCTTTCCCTGACGCACTAGCTTTCCATATGCGAGGACCAATGCTCCCTCTAAGCTGTGGGGTCTTCTGAGCAAAAATTCTACTTTGTGAGCGACTGGCATTACAGTTGTGAACGAGCGATTTGGCCGCTGTATACGTTAGTTTGCTTTGCAGCCACCCATCCTGAGCTAAGATGAAAATGTGTGAGCCGGAGGGTAAAAAGCTGTGAGCTGGCTCACACTAACTCAGCTTAGAGGGAACACTGGCAAGGACTGACCTGGATCTAGTGACTGCTAACTCCACTGGGGTTCAGAGGTACACTATCCCCAACCATGGAGGCTCCATCTAGTCATCACAACCAACAGCCAGGGGTGGACCTCTCCCCTCCATGCATATTTCCAACCCCCCCCCTTTGAAAGCCACCTAAATTATTGGCCAGTCACTCCATCCTGTAGCATTGGAGGCCACAAGCATGCACTTCTCACAGACTTCCTTGCAAGGTCAGTATGAAGAAGAAGAGATTGGATTTATATCCTGCCCTTCACTCAGCATCTCAGAGCGGCTTACAGTCTCCTTTTCCTCCCTCCTTTTCCTGTGAGGGGTAAGGTGGGGCCGAGAGAGCTCTGAGAGGACTGCTCTTGAGAGAACAGCTCTAAGAGAACTGTGACTGACCCAAGGTCGCCCAGCTGGCTGCATGTGGAGGAGTGGGGGATCAAACCCGGTTCTCCCAGATTAGAGTCCGTGCTCTTAACCACTTGACCAAACTGGAACACACAAAGCTGCCTTATACTGAATCAGACCCTTGGTCCATCAAAGTCAGTGCTGTCTACTCAGACTGGTAGCCGCTCTCAAGGGTCTTTCCCATCACCTCCTGCCTGGTCCTTTTAACTGGAGATGCCAGGGATTGAACCTGGGACCTTCTGCCTGCCAAGCAGATACTCTACCCCTGAGCCAGGGTCTTAGGCTGAGGTCTTTCACATCACCCCCTACCCGATCCTTTTAACTGGAGGTGCTGAGGATTGAACCTGGGACCTTTGGCATGCCAAGCAGAGCCCCCCACACCTTTTCAACAAAGACCAGGGCAAAGAAGAATGGCTTGGAAAAGAATTGTAGGCCCTGTTTCTGTAGAATTCAGCTTCATCTCCAAGTCCCTGCAGAGCGGCACAGGAGACGGCCCTCCAGCCGCCGCCGCGCCTCCTAGAATGGAAAATATCGTGCAAGCGGGACGCTACAGCGTCTTTTTGCCTGGCCCTGATCAACAGCCCGACATCAAAGGCTCGGAGCCGCAGAAATCAAGCACGCTTCTTAGCAGAAAGCAACGGATTTCGGAGCGTGCGCATTATGCAAATGGCTCTCCTAAGGGCGTCCCACATCCACTCATAGCAACAGGCTTGTGGCTTCGTCAAAAGGCCTCTCTGCTCATTGGCTATACGCTAGTCTCAGCGGATCCACGGAAAATAGGTTAGTCCACCCCAAGGTAGACGGCCGTTTGTCCCTGTGCTATGCCCAAGGCCAGCTGGCATCAAGGCAAACTATTCCCCCTCTGTTTCACAGGGTAGCCGTGTTGGTTTGCACTAGAAGAGCGACATTTGAGTCCAGTAGATCCTTAGGAGGGGGATGTGAAATGGTACAAGATAGCCTGATCTCGTCATCTCAGAAGCTAAGCAGGGTCAGTACTTCATCATGTCACATGTTAATTTGTTGCTCAGCCCATCTATGAGTTTGAACCTTCCCTACCATTCCAATCAATGCTCCCTCTAAGCTGCGGTGTCTTGTGAGCAAAAATTCTACTTTGTACGCTACCGGCATTAAAGTTGTGAGCGAGCGATTTGGCTGCGGCACAAACTAGTTTGCTCTGGAGCCCTCCTTCCTGGGCTAAGACAAAAATGTGTGAGCCGGAGGCTAAAAACTTGTGAGCCAGCTCACACTAACTGAGCTTAGAGGGAACATTGATTCCAATGTATTTGAAAAAGTGTGCCTGCACATGAAAGCTCATACCTCGAATAAAACTTTGTTGGTCTTAAAGGTGCCCCTTTGTTCTGTGTAACTTTGTAACTAAGCTTCATTAAAGGTTAACGTAAAGGTTTCCCTTGCTCGAAAGCCAATTGAATCTGACTCGAGGGTTGCGGTGCTCATCTCCATTTCCATGCCGAAGAGCCAGCACTGTCCGAAGATGTCTCCGTGGTCATGTGGCCGGCATGAGTAGACGCCGAGGTGCACGGAACGCTGTTACCTTCCCACAAAAAAGTTCCCTATTTATCTACTTGCAGTTTCTTGCTTTCGAACTGCTAGGTTGGCAGGAGCTGGGGCCAGAGACAGGCGCTCACTCTGTCACACGGCACTCGGGTCTCGAACTGCCGACCTTCCGGTCTGCAGCTCAGCGTCTTAACCTCTGAGCCACCTGGTGCAAACACGCTTCTGCACGTGTAGCTTTAATGCACTCTGCTAAACCAGTTCTGGGAACTAGATTAACTATACCAGGTATCCCGACAAGACTTTGTTCTGTTGCCTCGGACCAACACGGCGGCCCACCTGAGGTGCTAGGCTCACACTCTTAACCACTATCCCACGCCGGCTCTGCTCCTGTTCAAACATCCGTTGGCAGTCCTTGGGTCGGCTGGAACTGGGGCTATGTGGTTTGGCTGGGTCTGCACAACGTCAGGGATGGGTTGGCCCTGTAACTTACAGGTAAAGTCCCCAGAGAAGTCTTCACAGCCCCGAAAAGCTGCTGGGGAGCTATGGAGAAGCCAAGCTAAACACCAATGCAGCTGGCAGCTTCCAAGACAGGCAGCGGCAACGGGCACTGCTTACCAGGTTGAAGCTAAGCAGCCCCTGTCAGTCTGCCAACCTCACCAGAGCCAGTTTGGTGTAGTGGTTAGGAGCAGACTCTAATCTGGAGAAACGGGTCTGATTCCCCACTTCTCCACATGCAGCTGCTGGTGTGACCTTGGGCCAGTCACAAGTTCTCTCAGAGCTGTTCTCTCAAGGGCAATTCTGGAAAGAGTTCTCTCAGGCTGACCAACCTCACGGGGTGGCTGTTGTGGGGAGGGGAAGGGAAAGGAGTTTGTAAGCTGCTCTGAGACTCCTTTGGGTAGTAAAGGGCGGGGTATAAATCCAATCACTTCTTCTTCTTCTTCTACCTCACAGGGTGTCTGTTGTGGGGAGGGGAAGGGAAAGGAGATTGTAAGCTGCTCTGAGATTCCTTCGGATAGTGAAGGGTGGGGTATAAATCCAATCTAGTCTCCGCTTGCTCCATGGTCTTTTAGTGCCCTGGTCCACTGCCCCGATTCCCCGTCCCCAAAGGTGGCGTAGCAAGCCAGGTACCTGACAGTGCGTAGAATTGACCAGCGAGCAGCAATTCGTGTTCATCGAACAGCCTCACGTCATCCGACTCCTCCAGCACGGCTCGCAGGACCGTCAGAAAGTTCCGGAGGTAGTACGGATGGCCTCCTGAGTCCGCCGCAGAGCCAGATGGATCGGGGAGCGTCCCGGAAACAGTGACGCTTGTATTCCGAGAAGTCAGTCTTTCAGAAGGCCTTGTGTGGCCACCAGCCGTTTCATTCCTGAAGTCCGGACAGTCTTCCGTGGGATACTGTTTCGTGTCGCCTCTCCGAAAAGAGGATTTCTGGTTTCGCCTAAATGGCGTCGGTTTTGCAGGAGCAGACAGGACGCGCTCGCCGGACGAGAGCCCCCGGCTCCCTGCTTCACCGTGAGTGGCTGAACACGCGGCACGTTGACCGGGATTGGGAACTGGGTCCGTGGGGCTCTTGGTCCGCTCGCCGCCCCCTCCTGGTGGCAGGGCAAGGTCATTGCGATCAAGATCACCCCAAGGAGTTAAAACACGAGTAGAATCCTCTGAACCAACCCGGACTGCCTCTGGATCACAGTCTCCCGCTCTGCCTGGAGTTCCAGTCACGCTTGTTAACGTCCCGTTGGGACTGTGCTGTCCTTTAGATCTTGGGAAAGGAAAACTGTTTTCTTTCTGGGAAACGACCTCCGGAGTGGCGTCTCCCAGGTGGTGCTCGCCGGCGCTGTCCCCTGTGCCTGGAGTCAGACAGTTCTCAGCACACTTGTGCCCCGCCTTACCACCCTGGGCACACCGCCTCCTGGACAGCTTAGATGCCAAACTTCCCAGAGAGATGTTTTTGACTGCTCCAACTGTGGGCTCGGCATCGGACCCTCTCCAGCTATTGCCCCTTTTAAAATAAGGGCTCGACTGTTCCCCAACCCCAAGTTTCCTTTTCAGGCTGCACCCTTCTGGGGGTGCTGTGTTCGTCTCTGGGGCCGAGAAGTCCTTTGCAGAGTCTGGGCTGGAACAGCTCGGCCAATCACCCCCCGAAGTACCCGCACCAGATGCGGGCTCAACCAGAATCACGTCGTCGTCAGCACCACGGTTCTGCGGACACACCTCGTCAATATGCTGGTTGATTTGGAATCGGGACACCGTCTGCCCACACAGGGGACAGGGCACTGCGGAAGGGGGCACCTTATTAAAAAATGACGCAATCGAGACAGAAGGTGACGCATCTTCTGCTCCCTGCCCAGACTTCTTGCTTGCCCTTTTCCTGATGTTGTCACTTCGGGATAACGTTCCCCGAGGCCCTTTCTTGCCTGGACCTCCATTTCCGGCCATCACAAGGGCCCCAAACACATGAGTCCTTCGTTAACGTGACACCGTTTCACAGAAACAGTATTGTAAGTAGAAAATGTTGGTTGCTCCTTATTACTGAGCATTCTCCGTGGCCCTGCCTGTAAAAGGAAAAGAAGAATTTCTATTATTATTATTTTTTACATTATTTAACATTTTATTTGTTTACATTATTTTTAAAAAACTCATTCTCACTGCCACAAGGATGTTAGTCTGTAAGGTGCTACTGGACTCTTGCTCTTTTCTACTGCTATAGACAGACTCACATGAGTACCCATCTTGATCTTTAGGCACAAAGTTAACTGGGTAGGTTTGTGCCAGTCGCCGTCTTATACCTAACTTTCCTATAATCCTTGAACGTATGAACTACTAACTCAGGCCCCTGGTCCATCAAGGTCAGTACTCAGCCTGGCAGCTGTTCTCCAGGGTCTCAGGTAGAGGTCTTTCCCATCGCCTACTACCTTATACTGAATCAGTCTATCAAGGTCAGTATTGTCTACTCAGACTGGCAGCTCCTCTCCGGGGTCTCAGGCAGAGGTCTTTCACGTCACCTGCTGCCCTGGTCCCTTTTAACTGGAGATGCTGGGGATTGAACCTGGGACCTCCTGCATGCCAAGCAGATGCTCTGCCACTGAGGTCTTTCCCGTCGCCTCCTGCCTGGTCCTTTTACCTGGAGAAGCTAGGGATTGAACCTGGGACCTCCTGCATGCCCAGCAGAGGCTCTGCCACCGAGGTCTTTCCCGTCACCTCCTGCCTGGTCCTTTGACCTGGAGAAGCTAGGGATTGAACCTTGGACCTCCTGCATGCCAAGCAGAGGCTCTGCCACTGAGGTCTTTCCCGTCACCTCCTCCCTGGTCCTTTTACCTGGAGAAGCTGGGGATTGAACCTGGGACCTCCTGCATGCCAAGCAGAGGCTCTGCCACCGAGGTCTTTCCCGTCGCCTCCTGCCTGGTCCTTTTACCTGGAGATGCTGGGGATTGAACCTGGGACCTCCTGCATGCCAAGCAGAGGCTCTGCCACTGAGGTCTTTCCCGTCACCTCCTGCCTGGTCCTTTGACCTGGAGACGCTGGGGATTGAACCTGGGACCTCCTGCATGCCAAGCAGACTCTCCAGCACCGAGCCACGGCCCTTCCCCCTTAGGAACACAAAACAAGGTGTGAGCACCTTCTAATCACCTGCCCCAAGTCCTTCGCATAGGAAACATTCCGGTCTTACACAGAAGCGTCTCAGACGGGAAAAGCAGGCTGTATATTGTAGTCCCAACATGCAAAAGATCTTCCAGGTTCACAAATAGAACTTGCGCCCATTTTTTTCCTCCTTTAAAGGCAAAGAATAGCTGCCCAAACCTTGAGCCCCAGAGAGGAGATCTGCAGGCTTAAGCAAACAGCAGGTTAGAACAACCGGTAAATAAAGAGGAAACGCATATGAAGGTCAGAACAGTGAAGAGGCGGTTGCTGAACTCCTCCATTTAAGGGAGAAGTAAGGAAGGAAGGAGTTCAGTCTATGCTGCCAGAATAGCCATTGCAGGTCAGTTAAAATTAATAAATAAATGGGGGGAGGAGGAGGGAGACAGCAGCCTCGGGTGCCCATGCAGTGCACGAATATGCAACACGAGGCTGGGAATGCAAAAATAATAATAATGCAAATTCGATCCCAGTTCGGACTTCCGACCCACTTACGAAGTTCCCTCCACTCGCCGCTCTCATGCAAATTCAGCCGCCATAGAGAGGCGCGCAGGCGCACAACAACCCGCGGCCGCCCGGGCAGCGCGAGACCGCGCCGGTCCAAGGGCGGCAGAGAGCGAGTACGCATGCGTCAGTGCGGGCCGCTTTCTGGTTTTCCCCTCCACAGCCAGGCAAGATGCAATGCAGCGCAGTTCAGGTGTGGCAAGTCGATGGTGGACTGATCGATTCCCCTCCCCTTTCCTCAGTTCCTTTGCTTTAAGGGCTGGCCAGCATCGTCTGCGAGGGGGGGAGCAGCAGGTCTTTTCTGTTTCTCTTCCTTTTTTTAAATATAAGAATGGAAAGTGTGGACTTGCACAACATTAGGGGGTCTGCAATTTCTGCATGCCTCTATTTCTTTTTCTTTTTTAAAAGTATAATTAAAAAAAGGAAAATTTGGACTCGCAAAGGGAAAGGGGTCTGCAATTTTTGCGCATGCCTCCCCAGCAAGGCATACATACACACACACACACACACACACATCTATATCACAGACACACACACTAAAAAAGAAAAATTTGGACTTGCACAGTGGGAGGGGTCTGCAATTTGTGCATGCCTCTTTTTTTCTTTTTTAAAAGTATAATCTAAAAAAGGAAAATTTGGACTCGCACAGGGGAAGGGGTCTGCAGTTTTGTGCATGCCTCCCCAGCAAGGCATATATATATATATACACACATATACACACATACATAGGTAGAACACACACACACAAAAGGGAAAAAATTGGACTTGCACAGCGGGAGGGGTCTGCAATTTTTCTTTTTTTCTATAATAAAGGAAAAATTGGAGATGCACAGCAGAAGAGGTCTATAGTTGGTTATGCCCCCCCCCCCCCAAGACACACCTGTGCATTGTCCTGGAGTATGCATTCCCAGGAGTTGTAGTAGTTAAAAGTGTCCAACTAGGACCTGGGAGAACCAGGTTCGAATCCTGACTCTGCCATGGAAGCTCTCTGGCTGACCTCGGGTCCGTTGCACACTCCGCCTAACCTACCTTACAGGACTGTTGTGAGGATGAATTGGAGGAGGAGGTGGAGAGACTGCTATTAAGCCACTTCGCCTCCCTGCTCAGGAGGTATACATTTCTAAACAAATAAATGCTGGAAGGCATTCAAAAGGGCTCAGGTGGCAAAGTGTGTCCCCATGTGCATGCTGGAGTCTAGTCGTGGCAGGGTTGCCACCTCTGGGTTGGGAAGTACCTGGAGATTTTGGAGGAGGAGCCAGAGGAGGGCGGGGTTTGGGGAGGGGCTTCAGTGGGCTACGATGCCATACGAGCCAACCTCTGAAGTGGCCCTTTCCTCCAGGGGAACTGATCTCTACTGCCTGGAGATCAATTGTAATAGCAGGAGACCTCCAGCCAGCACCTGGAGGTTGGCAATCCTAAGGCACGGGTGCCCCTCAGTGTTGCCAGGGAAATGAAGAAAAGTGCCTTAATGGGATGACGAGAAGAGACTGGATTTATACCCTGCCCTCCACTACCTGAAGGAGTCTCAGAGCGGCTCACAATCTCCTTTCCCTTCCCCTCCCCACAACAGACACCCTGTGAGGTAGGTGGGGCTGAGAGAGCTCTGACAGAAACGGCTCTTTTTCAAGGACAGCTCTGACAGAACTATGGTGCAAGTGGAGGAGTGGGGAATCAAACCCGGCTCTCCCAGATTAGAGTCCGCGCACTTAAACCACAACACCAAACTGGAGCATCGGCATTTCTGGAAGGAGGTCTTGAGGCCATTCCTATCCACAAGCTGGCAAAGCTGGGCAAAGAAGGACCCCTTTTCCCATGAGATAATAACAAAAAGGAAGGCAGGGGCTGCAGAGGGACGCTTTGCCTGTTCCACTTACGGAAATCTGGCAAGAGGGGAGGGAAGGAATCCTCTGGAGAGCTTTCCCTTTGTATCAGCGTAAAGACTTAAAAGGATGCCTTTCTCCAAAGAGGGCGGTTAAAAGCATTCCAAGTCTCCAAAGACAAAGAGATGCTCTGGAGGACTTGCCAGGAAGTCCTGGCCTGGGCTCACTCCAGCTCAGCGAAGAGGCCAAAGAGACGCCTGCCAAAAAGGCAACAGTGGGCTTTTCATGGGTTTGCAAAGGAACTCCACACACACACGCCCCCGGGGATCCTGGCAACGGGAACGTGCTTTGGGCCAGGGATTCTTAGAGCTCTGGAGTCCCCTGAAGCGGTTTGCAAAACTGGCCACCTTAGCGTGTGAAAGAATCAACGCCGGGGGGATTCAGCACATCAGATCTGGACTGCCGGGCCTCTACCGTGGTGGTTTTCCCAGCTTCCTCACTTTCACAGTGTGTGTGTGGTGGTGGGGAAATGGCATCCTTCCCACAGTCTGGAAAGGGTGGTGGAGGCTGGAGTCATTTCCTGCAGGAGTGCACAGGAGCGGAGCTCCGGAGGTAAAGAGCCCAGGGGGTGGGCACATGCAGCAAGCCCCACCCCCTGCTCCCAGCAGTCCTCAGTCAGAGCAAGAAGCAGCCAGGTAAGTTGCAGAGCTCCCCCCAGCCCAAAACAGTCCAGTGGCACCTTTAAGACCAAGTTTTATTCAGGTACAAGCTCTCCCTCCTCTGTGAGGACAGATCTGCACGTTCCCCCCCCCCATAGCTAGCAATCCAAAACAGTCCAGTGGAGCCTGAGCAGTGGGTGTGGCCTTCTGACACACTTCTGGTGATGTCAGGGGGTGTGGCACATGCAAATGAGTTATGCTAATGAGTTATGCTAATGAGCTCCTGCACTTCTTTTTCTACGAAATGACCCCTGGGTGGAGGTAAGGGCCATCTAGTCGCAGCCGAATTATGGTGACCCTGTACGGTTTTCAAGGCAAGAGAAGAACAGAGATGGTTTTGCCATTGTCTGCCTCTGCATAGCAACCCTGGGCTTCCTTGTCGGCCTCCCACCCAAGAACTAACCAGGGCCGACCCTGCTTTAGCTTCTGAAAACCAAAAAGATCAGCCAAGCCTGGGCCATCCAGGTCAGGGCAAGAGACGAACAGAGGCGGTTTGCCATCACCTGCCTCTGCATAGCAACCCTGGAGTTCCTTGGTGGTCTTCCATGCAAGAAGTAACCAGGGCCGACCCTGTTTAGCTTCTGAGATCTGATGAGATCGAGTTAGCCTGGCCCATCCAGGTCAGGGCAAGAGACGAACAGAGGCGGTTAGCTGTCACCTGCCTCTGCATAGCAACCCTGGACTTCCTTTGTGGTCTCCCATCCAAGTACAAACCAGGGCTGACCCAGTTTAGCTTCTGAAATCTGGTGAGATCAGGCTAGCCTGGGCCATCCAGGTCAAGACAAAAGGCGTTCAGAGGTGGTCTGCCATTCCCTGCCTCTGCATAGCAACCCTGGACTTCCTTGGTGGTCTCCCATGCAAGAAGTAACCAGGGCTGACCCTGCTTTGCTTCCGAGATCTGATGAGATTGAGTTAGCCTGGGTCATCCAGGTCAGAGCAAGAGACGAACAGAGGCGGTTAGCCGTCGCCTGCCTCTGCATAGCAACCCTGGACTTCCTTTGTGGTCTCCCACTCAAGTACGAACCAGGGCCGACCCAGCTTAGCTTCTTAGATCTGACGAGATCAGGCTAGCCTGGGCCATCCAGGTCAAGGCAAGAGGCGTTCAGAGGTGGTCTGCCATTCCCTGCCTCTGCATAGCAACCCTGGACTTCCTTGGTGGTCTCCCATCCAGGTTCTAATCAGGGCTGACTGTGCTTAGCTTCCGAGATCTGAAGAGAGCAGGCCACCCTGGGACATCGAGGTCAGGGCTTCACAGCCAGGACAGTACAAGTTCTTTCTCCCACCTCACTCTATAATCTGGGAGAACCGGGTTTGATTCCCCACTCCTCCACATGCAGCTGCTGGTGTGACCTTGGGTCAGTCACAAGTTCTCTCAGAGCTGTTCTCTCAGAAAGAGCTCCCTCGGCCCCACCCACCTCACAGGGTGTCTGTTGTGGGGAGGGGAAGGGAAAGGAGTTTGTAAACCGCTCTGAGACTCCTTCGGGTAGTGAGGGGTGGGGGTGTGAATCCAATCTCTTTTCTTCTCGTTCTTCCACCTGCATAGACCAGGCTGCGGTTGCAAAGAATTCAGGAAAATTCAAGGCCTCGCACGCCGTTCATTGGTCCTGGCCATTGCTCCATTTGAATCACAAGACTGTACTGTAGCGTATATCCAACGCTGTCCCCTATGTGTTGCGGACAGGAGTTGATTGTCACCAAACAGCAAGGCATCTTTCTGGGATGTTTCTCAATACACACACACACACGGGGCCGTTCTGAAGAACCCCAGGATTCTACACCTGTGAGGTCTCGAGGTACCCCCTTTTCTCTCCGGAAACCACACCCGGCAATCTCTCGGCGCCCCCCTCTTTCGCCGACTCCGCACCGCTTCCTTCTTTAATAGATGCTACCACTTTGTCTCCCGTCCCACAGCATCGATTGCACTCACCTGCGACTTCTGTCAGCCGGCGTGACCAGCCTCGATCGCTTCCCATTAAGCAGGAAAATCTTTTAATTTATTTGTCAGGGGCCGGCCTGGAGGCCTCCCCCCCATTAGCCGTAATTGCACTCCCCGGCTCAGGGCTCAGTATTTTCAAACTAATGCAATTCCAGCCTCCGCGTGACTTTAATTAACTGTGACAAATTTTCCCCAAAAGCGCATTTGCAAATAACACATAATTTATGGGGTCACCCGAGCAAAAAAGAAAGAAAAGAAAGAGAAGTCGTGTTAGTGCCCTGCTAAACCAACCGACACGCATTTGTTTCAGGAATTTAATGGCATCTCGCAGGATCGGTGGCCTTGCCTCCCTCCGCTCCATCAGTCATACACAGATGCACCTAAGGTACAGACCTTCTTCAGAAACTTTAAACAGGGGATTAAGAAGCGAGCTAGAGCGCAGCAAGGTAATTTCTCCAGCAGAACGGATGCTCCCAATACCGCTCCTCAGCAGTTTTCCCTGCCTCCAATTTCAGCCTTAAGAGAAGCAAACTAGTCCAGGGGTACCGAACTAATTTGTTATGAGGGCCGGATCTGACATAAAGAGACCTTGTTGGGCCAGGCCATGTGTGTCATAAAATGTAACGCCAGGTAGTGGAGATATAAACTTTATAAAGGACACAAAGGGTTTTTTTTAAACTTAAAGTAAAAACCTGCTTAAAACATTAGCACTCTTGCAATATTTTGTTTATTTAACAGTGTCCGATAACTGACACCTCTTGCTCTGAATTATTGCATCAAAATGTCTGTGCTACTGCGATCTTCAGTATGCCGTTCAGGTGTGTATCTGTAAGCTGCAAACCTACGATGACGCAGCGGCAGCAGAACTGGAAGAAGAAGCAGGAGACAGCCAGTTCCACTGCGGGCCTGATAGAAGCCCTCCGGGGGCCTCATCTGGCCCCCGGGCCGCATGTTTGACACCCTTGAACTAGCATGCAATTGTTGTTTTCATGAACGCTGACACAGATGGGGATCATCGTCAAAGGCGTGACACAAGGGAGACTTATTCTCCAATTTGCAATAACCCTCCTGGGAGACGCAATTACCCTCTCTCCCTCCCAGACCAATCTGAGGCATCCTTGAATTTTTTCAAAAAAGGAACTTCTGGGGTGCTGGTGGAAACCTCGGGAGAGATGGAGCAGAGGAGAACGAGAGATGGAGGAGAGACTGACAAGGATCTGGCAAACCCAGGCTCAAATCCCGGCTCTCCCATAGAGGCCCGCTGGATGACCTTAGGCCAGTCACACACTTTCAGTCTAACCTATCTCACAGGGTCGTTGTGAGGATGAAATAGAGGACAGGGGAACTATATGAGCCGCCCTGGGTCCCCACTGGGGAAAAAGGTGGGGAATAAATGAAGTCCATGAATAAAGCACTGCACAAAAACTAGTTTGGTATAGCGGACCCTACTCTGGGAGAACTGGGTTTGATCCCCCACTCCTGCACATGCAGCTGCTGGTGTGACCTTGGATCAGTCACAAGTTCTCTCAGAGGTGTTCTCTCAAGGGTAGTTCTCGAGAGAGCTCTCTCGGCCCCACCTACCTCACAGGGTGTCTGTTGTGGGGAGAGGAAGGGAAAGGAGTTTGTAAGCTGCTCTGAGACTCCTCTGGGTATTGAAGGGCGGGGTATAAATCTAACCTCTTTTCCTCTTCTATTCGACTCCCTGATGACGAATCCTGCCCTTATAGTGTCTTCCAGAATGCGAGGGGCACTTCTCCAGTCTCCCAGTTAGTATGGCTTGCTTTAAATCATACGCAGGGCATTTAAAAAAAAAAAAAGCGTAGCTTACCTTTTAAAACCCAAAAGAGAGAAAGAAAATCAAAAGGGCGGGCATACATTAGAAAATCCGATTTAATTGGTACAAAACAGCGTCGGCATAAATATCTTATAGCTTCAGCTTCTGGGCCGAGAGCTCCCGTTTCTTCGTCTCCCTCTGGCTTTTCTTGGCGTCCCGGATTTGCATTTTTACTTGATCTTGCAACTGAGAGAAGAACGCTCGGGAGGACTTCAAAGCCCGGTCTTTGCCGTCATCCTGCAAGACAGCAACATCGAGCGCATAACGGGAGACGCTCTCCCAACACACACACACACACACAAAGCATGATGTACGGCTGTTCCAACCACTCGAACCGTCCCCACAGAATGCTCGAGAGTTTGTGTTCTGATTGATAACTCAATGGCAAAACAGCTGTTGTGTCACGCAGTACCTTCCCCCACCGCCGGCAACACAATAAATGCCCCCCCCAAAAAAGCTGAAGGGACGCGCTCTGATCTACCCCCTCTTATGCTCAGCGCATGTTAATAAGAGATAAGCGCAGCCTGCTGGTAGCTAATCCCTTTATCACAGGGGGGCAAACAGCAACGGAGAGCTCCGGGTGAATTTTAAAAAGATCTCCCTCCCCCCCCTTCTCCCAAGTTGCTTGTCTCTAGTGATTCCAGATTCGAGAGAAGAGGGAGAAGAAGAGGAAAAGGAAGAGGAGGAAGAAGGAGGAGGAGGAGATTGGATTTACACCCTGCCCTTCACTCAGAGTCTCAGAGCATCTTACAATCTCCTTCCTTTCCTCTCCCCACAACAGACACCCTGTGAGGTCGGTGGGGCTCCAAGAGAAAGCTCTTTCGAGAACTGCCCTCGAGAGAACAGCTCCGGGAGAACTTGTGGCTGACCCAAGGTCACACCAGCAGCTGCGTGTGGAGGAGTGAGGGAATCAAACCCGGTTCTCCCAGATTAGAGTCCGCCACTTCTAAGAACTACGCCAAACTGGCTCTCCCTTAGCACCTTAGAGACGGACAAGGTTTTGTGGGGATATGCTTTGGAGGGTCAAAGCTCCCTTCTTCAGATAAAGACCAACAGGGCTTCCCTCTGAATCGAATCACTCCGAAAGTGTAAGAGTTCACCGCCACGGTGTTCCGGGGAGCAGGGAACAGAGTCTGTCTAACGCATTAATCTTGTGGCGGTTGGTAAGGACGTTTTTGCAGGTAACCAAAGAGGTTGGGAAAAGATGAAGAAAAGCCTTGTATGTAAAAACAAATAAATAAACCCAGGTCAATTCCGGAAAAGCTGAAATTATATTAAATCATTGGATTGTCAGCCAGGCCTTTGGCTATACTAGCTGCCATGGGAGTGAGGGGGTGACTCTGGGATGCGGAAATCCGCTGTGTTTCTATTATCTCTGTGTGACCTTCAGTGCCTGGTGTAGTCTTTCTCCTAGGAAAAGTAGCCCGTTACTTTGGCGGGCTTCTACCTGATCCCCGATTGGCCCTGGGCCATCAGGGGGCCTCCTTGAATGACGCATACCTGCTTGCTGCGCGCGCTTTCCTTCAGTTCTAACACGAAATAGTTAAGATATCTGCATACTCTCAGTATGCAGTCTCAATGTCTCAATAAACTTTACTTCTTTGAACGAAAGCTGTTGGGAACTGATTGCTGAGGGAGTCTGACAGGATCTTTAACCAAATTGTAAACAATAAAAAACTGTGCATAAAAATCTATCAACTTTGGTTACATATATATATATATATACACTACCTTCCCCTCGTACAGGGGTCCCTGGCCTTTTTTGACCCAGCAGACACATTTGGGATTCTGATACAAAATGGCCGCCACCGGAGGTGGTCACCCAGCCGGCTACATGTGGAGGAGGAGTGGGGGAATCAAACCCGGCTCTCTCCAGATTAGAGTCTGCCGCTCTTAACCACTACGCCACGCTGGCTCTCGCGCAAGATAAACTCATCCAAGCAGGGCTTTCAGCGGCCTTACCTTGAGCAGAGACGCCCCGCCCGCCTTGAGCTTCTTCAGCTGCCCGGCGGAAACCCGTCTGTTTGGCTTGGGGCTCTGTTCCGCCTTCTTCTCCAGCAGCTTCTGCCGCTTCTCCTTCTCCTTCAGCCTGATGCGCTTCAGCAGCTTCTTCTTCCTCCGCTCCCGTTTCTTGTCCGTGGCGGTCTTCTCGGCGTCCGTCTTCACGTCTCCGCCTTTGGTCCTCTCCTGAAATACGGCCCACGTTTTAGGATTGAGGGGCTCCGCGTTCCGTGCCTCCTGGGGCAGACGGACCCTTGAGCTTACAGGGATAGCGCTTGGCGGACTACCGACCAATGGCTCCCTCTAAGCTGTGGAGTCTCGTGAGCAAAAATCCTACTTTGTGAGCTCCTTGCACTAAAGTTGGGGGTGAGCGATTTGGCTACTGCATATATTAGTTTGCTCTGGAGCCCTCCTTCCTGAGCAGAGACAGAAATGTGTGAACCGGAGGGTAAAAAGCGGTGAGCTGGCTCACACTAACTCAGCTTAGAGGGAACACTGCTACTGACCCAGACAGTGGGGGCCACAACGGGCAAACTTATGCACGGCATGGTTGCCATGAGCTGATTCTAAGCCAAGTGACCCTCGTGCACCTGGGATCCACTCCACGTGGCTTGTTCTGGGGCGGTTTTACTTGCCCAGTTTGCCCCTGTATCTCACGCCGTGGAAGTTAGGTAAATTTTTCATACAAGGGGGATTCATGGAATACAACTGGCTACTTCGGAGTGGATTCTGTGGCATTATACCTTGCCGGGGTCCATTCCTTCTCCCAAATCCTGCTGAGTCCAAGTCCCCCCACCAAAACCTCCTGGGATTTCCTAACCGGAAGTTGGCAACTCTGTCTCTCTCTGGGCACTGAAGGTAGGCTGCCTCTGCCGATGGAGGGTTCACTGAGCTCCAGTGAATTGCTTTCCCTAGTCCCTAGAAAGTGGGGCTCAGAGACCAGCTGCCTCTATGTCTGCTCCATGTAGAGCTAATTTTAGTTTCTTTCCCCTTTCCATAGTCCCTAACAGCTGAGGGTTCATATGGAGATGGCTCTGCTGGGACATTGCATGTTAATGGCCACTGGTGGATTTAAGAAGGGATCGGACAGATTCACAGAGGAGAGATCCATCAGTGGCTAGCAGCTGTGGTGACTAAAGGGAACCTCCATATTCAGAGGCAGTCAACCTCAGAATCCCAGTGCCAGAAGGCCTCGGCCTCTATACCCTGCTGTTGGCCATCCAGAGGAACTAGTTGGCCCCTGTGTGAGAAAGGATGCTGGACTAGACGGACCACTGGTCTGATCCAGCAGGGCTCTTCTGACGTTCTTATCAGGGGAAGGCCTCGACCTCTCTGCCCTGTTGTTGGCCCTCCAGAGGAACTGGTTGGCCCCTGTGTGAGACAGGATGCTGGACTAGACGGACCACTGGTCTGATCCAGCAAGGCTCTTCTGACGTTTTTATTTATTTATTTTATTTATTCAAGTATTTCTACCCCGCCCTACCCCGCGAGGCCTCGACCTCTCTGCCCTGTTGTTGGCCCTTCAGAGGAACTGGTTGGCCCCTGTGTGCGACAGAGGGACCACTGGTCTGACCCAGCAGGGCTCTTCTGATGTTCTTATCAAGGGAAGGCCTCGGCCTCTATGCGACAGGATACTGGACTAGATGGACCACTGGTCTGATCCAGCAGGGCTCTTCTAATGCTCTTATGAAGGCCTCGGCCTCTGTGCCTTGTCGCTGGCCCTCCAGAGGAACTGGCTGGCCCCTGTGTGAGACAGGATGCTGGAATGCAGGGCTATTTTTGGGCAGGAACGCACAGGAACAGAGTTCCGGTTGGCTCCTGAGTTGGCCACACCCAGCAGGAACTCATTAGCATAACAGGCCACCCCCAACAGCAGAAACTCATTAGGATTGGTTACATTAGGGGTGTGCGGCCTAACATGCAAAGGAGTTCCTGATACAAAAAAAGCCCTGGGTTTTGACAACAAAGAAGGTAAACAGAATAAGAAGCAAAAGGTGGGTGTGGCTGGATGAACACACTTCTGGTAACATGGGGGTGTGGCCTAATATGCTAATGAGTTCCTGCTGTTGGGTGTGATCTATTATGCTAATGAGTTCCTGCTGGGCTTTTTCTACAAAAAAAACCCTGCTGGAAAGGATGGACCCCTGGTCTGATCCAGCAGGGCTCTTCTAATGCTCTTATGAAGGCCTCGGCCTCTGTGTCCTGTTGCTGGCCCTGCAGAGGAACTGGCTGGCCCCTGTGTGAGACTGGAGGCTGGACTGGATGGACCACTGGTCTGATCCAGCAGGGTTCTTTTCACATTCTTAACTAAGGCGTTTTTATCTTACTTCTGCTGGTCTGAAGGAGCAGTGCTACCAGACGTTTCTACGGAATCCCTTACCTCAATCTCCTCCGGAGCCAGGAGTGCAGCGTCGCTAACGCTAACTGGCGCAACTTCCTCCATAGTTATTGCGGGGAGATTGGAGACTATTTTAACCTCCGGCACGGGCTAGAGAGAAAGAGAAACACACGATACGTGAAGTGGGAAAAGTTAATGCATCATTCGATCGAAGCAGAGGTATTTGGATTTCCCAAACCGATTTGTTGCCTACTGAAGGTAACAAGACTGCACGGACTTCTCTGGTCTCCAGAGCCACGCCAGGGATTCGGGGCATGCGTCAAGCGCAAATCAAATGCACCTTGGTGACAACCACCTTAATGCCAAGATTTATTTTTTTTTTAAAGCACAGAATTATGCACATGGACTTCAGATGCTGCTGCACTTACCGGCTTCGGTGTGAAGCGGAAATTGGAAAGGGCGTCCAGCTTAAGAAAAAGAGCATCCATCATTTTCTGGATTTCTATATGTTCGGGTTTTTCTTCCTCTTCGGTTTTTTTCTGGGTGAAACAATAATGTGCCGTTAGTCAGCAGCATAATACCAAGGAAAAATGGAACATAAGAACATAGAGAAAAGAAGAAGAAGAGATTGGGTTTATACCCCACCCTTCACTACCCAAAGGAGTCTCGAAGTGGCTTACAATCTCCTTTCCCTTCCCCACAACAGACACCCTGTGAGGTAGGCGGGGTTGAGAGAGCTCTTGACAGAAACGGCTCTTTTTCAAGAACAGCTCTGATCAGAACTACGGCTTGCCCAAGGTCATCCAGCCAGGTGCAAGTGAAGGAGTGGGGAATCAAACCCGGTTCTCCCAGATTAGAGTCCACGCACTTAACCACTACACCAAAGATGAGATTGGATTTATACACCGCCCTTCACTCAGAGTCTCAAAGCGACTTACAATCTCCTTCCCCTTCCCCTCCCCACAACAGACACCCTGTGAGGTAGGCGGGGCTGAGAGAGCTCTTGAGAGAACTGCCCTTGAGAGAACAGCTCTGAAGGAATTTATGACTGACCCAAGGTCACACCAGCAGCTGCATGTGGAGGAGTGGGGAATCAAACCCAGTTCCCCCCAGATTAGAGTCTGCGCTCCTAACCACTACACCAAATTGGCTCTCATAAGAACAACCCTGCTGGATCAGACCAGTGGTCCATCTAGCCCAGCATCCCGTCTCACACAGTGGCCAGCCAGTTCCTCTGGAGGGAAAACCACAGGGTAGAGAGGCCAAGGCTAGAAGTATGCGTGTACATGAAAGCTTATACCCAGAATAAAACTCTGTTGGTCTTAATGGTGCCACTGGACACAAACTTTGTTCTGCTCCTTCAGACCAACAAGGCTGCCCACCTGAATCTATGTCAAAACAAAGTCAGACGGTGGCCCTGCTCAGACAGATGTCGCAGACAAAGAAGAGGTCTCTAGCAATGCTCCCTCTAAGCTGTGGAGTCTTGTGAGCAAAAATCCTGCTTTGTGAGCGATGACATTAAAGTTGTGAGCGAGCGATTTGGCTATTGCATGAATTGGTCTGCTCTGGAGCCCTATCCTTCCTGAGCTAGGACAAAACTCTGTGAGCTGGAGGCTAAAAAACTAGCTCACACTAACTCAGCTTAGAGGGAACGCTGCTCTCAAGGGCCTTTATGCCAACGTCCTTCGACCGCGGGTCTCCCCAGATTTAAGACCCGGTCCATACAAATACACTCTTCTTTGAAAACCCACCTGGTGAAGTTTCAGGTATTCCTGCTCGTAGATCTCCGTGAGACTTAATTTGCTCTTCTCGTGGTCCAGAGTCAGGCGCTTTTTGTACTCGAAGGGATCCTCCTTTGGCTTTTCTTTCCGGACGACGTCGTCCCAGGCCTGAAAACAAAGATGTCGGAAGGATACAGAAGTGTGAAAACGAGCGCGGCTGTCGAAGCAGCGAGAGGGGTATCGATTTCTCTTCAAAGATGACTAACCAAAATCTTATTTCTCTTCAAAGACGACTAACCAAAAGTTATTACAATAAGATGAAAGGGGGGGGGGACGAACAGTAGTCGCAAAAACACAAATTTCAAAATGGGAACAGTTTCCTCTTGGGAAGACTGGCTGTACTGAGCTTCTCTTTGGGAGGGAATTGCACTGAACTGTAGCCCCAGTGGACCCAATTCTATCCCCTGCTCAGTGTCGCAAGCATACAGAGGACTCAGCCAAAACTCTAGGTATGGGGCGTCAAACGTGCGGCCCGGGGGCCACATCAGGCCCCCAGAGGACTTCCATCAGGCCCACAGTGGAACTGGCCGTCTCCTGCTTCCAGTTCTGCTGCTGCTGCATCATCGCTTGCTTCTCCTCTTAATCACTCAGCCACTTCATGCTTTAACCTGAGTCCTAGACTCAGAACTCTGAGCATGAGAGTTCTGTGGTGAATGTCAATAAATCAAAAGTAGGTTTGCAACTTACAGAGCTAATGTTTTAAGCATGTTTTTATTTTAAGTTAAAAAAAAATCTTTGTGTCCTTTTTAAAGTTTATATCTCTGCTACCTGGCACTGCATTTTATGACACACACGGCCCGGCCCAACAAGGTCTCATTTATGTCAGATCCGGCCCTCATAACAAATGAGTTTGACCAAACCTGCTCTAGGTGTTCTCGTCAAAATAATTTAAATCGCAGCAACTTAATAACCATAATATTTGGTAAGAGGAGCCCTGCTGGATCAGACCAGTGGTCCATCCAGTCTAGCATCCTGTCTCGCACAGTGGCCAACCGGTTCCTCTGGAGGTCCAACAACAGGGCACAGAGGCCGAGGCCTTCCCCTGAGAAGAACGAGCCCTCCTGGATCAGAGCAGTGAGGGTCCATCTAGTCCAGCCTCCTGTCTCACACAGGGGCCAACCAGTTTCTCCGGAGGCCCAACAACAGGGCAGAGAGGCCGAGGCCTTCCCCTGATAAGGAAGTCAGAAGATCCCTGCTGGATCAGACCAGTGAAGGTCCATCCAGTCTAGCATCCTGTCTCACAAAGTGGCGAACCAGTTCCTCTGGAGGGCCAACAACAGGGCAGAGAGGCCGAGGCCTTCCTCTGATAAGAAAGTCAGAAGATCCCTGCTGGGTCAGAGCAGTGAGGGTCCCTCTAGTCCAGCATCCTGCCTCACACAGTGGCCAACCAGTTCCTCCGAAGGGCCAACAACAGGGCATAGAGGCTGAGGCCTTCCCCTGAGAACATCAGAAGAACCCTGCTGGATCAGACCAGTGGTCCATCCATTATTCTAGCTCTTTTAGCATTATCTGGGAGAGCCAGGTTCGATTCCCCACTCCTCCACTTGCACCTGCTGATGTGACCTTGGGTCAGTCACAAGCTCTGGCACAGCTGTCCTTGAAAAAGAGCAGTTTCTGCCAGAGTTCTCTCAGCCCCTCCCACCTCACAGGGTGTCTGTTGTGGGGAGGGGAAGGGAAAGGAGTTTGTGAGCCGCTCTGAGACTCCAAGTGAAGGGCGGGGTATAAGTCCAATCTCTTCTTCTTCTTCTCTTCATTATGCACCACTAGGTTGCAAACTAGGCTTATTTTCTGGGCTGACAGAGAGCTCTGAAAGAGCCGTGACTGACCCAGGGTCACCCAGTTGGCTTCATGTGGAGGAGTGCGGAATCAAACCCAGTTCTCCAGATTAGAGTCCATCGCTCTTAACCACTACGCCACGTTGGCTCCCCCCTCCCCTTAAGAAGTGGTATCAGAAGTACATGCTCCACCACCTTGTCTCAATGGGAAAATTACAGTGGGTGGGATTTCTACACGAGCAGCAGAAGCCCCCCCCTGGCAATCACATAGCACCGCACACTCATAATCAGTTGTAATAACCTGATCTTTTATCCTCCTCTTGATGACCTCTTCAAGCTCCATCGTCGTCTCCTCCGTGATCACAGGAGCTGAGAAGACAGGAAAAGGAGTTGGTGGCGGAATTTCTGACCTGGGACACTTGGGAGACACAACATCGGCCCTACTAATTCAGCCTGTCGCATTTGAATCTGACCCCCGTGATTGGGGACCCGCATGCACAAGGAGAGCGTTCTCCACTATACGAAACAGAAGTCCACAAGGGGCTTCGAGGATAACATTTATCCCAGTATGTGTTTTCTTGAGACAGAGCTCACTTCTTCCAATACAATGGGAAGAAAGTAACTTCTCTGCCTCGTTTCTACTACTTCCTCTCTTCTGCCCCGCTGCTGTAATTTTCTGCAAAAATGAGGTAGAGGAGTTCCTTTCTTCCCATTGTATCTGAAGAAGCGAGCTCTGTCTTGCTAAAGCTCATGCTGGAATCAGTGTTATCCTTTAAGGTCCCTCTGGACTTCTGTTTTCTATAGTGGAGATTCAGAAATTAATAATAACAACAACAACAACAACAACAGTAAATCTTGTTAAGTCACTAAGGTGCCGCGGGAATTCTCTTTTGCTACAACAAACATGGCCACTTCGCTCAGCCATAGAACAAACCAGCCAATGTAAAATGGCTTCCAGGCGTGCGAGATTTACCCATTTTGACGGCGTGGTCGAAGAGCAGTGTCTCCTCCAGGAGGCTGTTTTCGGGCCGCTTCTGCCCCGTCACTTCTCCCCTCAACTGCCAGGACTTCTCCCTCAGCAGCTCTCCTTCGAGCGATTTGATTTTCTCGCTCAGCTGCAAGAGAACGATTGCTCCTGAGTCGGTCCCCAAGATGCTTTGGCGCTCTTGGGGACTCGGCCAATTCTGTGAATTTGAAGACTCTGTCTTTGCTTTAATTGGGGGGGTGGGGGTGACGATTGGGGTGGGGCAGCTTATATTTTGACTGACAGAGAGAGAAGGCGCATTTGGGTCCCAACCAGTGTTCCCTCTAAGCTGAGTGAGTGTGAGCCAGCTCACAGTTTTTTAGCCTCCGGTTCACACATTTTTGTCTCGGCTCAGGAAGGACGGGGCTCCAGAGCAAACTGATTTATGCAGCAGCCGAATCCCTCGCTCACAGCTTTGATGCCAGCAGCTCACAAAGCAGGATTTTTGCTGACAAGACTCCACAGCTTAGAGGGAGCCTTGGTCCCAACCCAGCCTTACCTTTTCCTGCCTTTTCTCAAAGGAGGATTTCGCTTCAAGGGGACGGCTCGCCTTCCCCTCCGACGCGTCTGGTTCGTCTTCCACATCACTGTCGAACGGCAAGGCAAACGTCACTCTTTTGGAAGCCTCTTTCTTCCTTTCATCCTCCGGCGGCTCTTGGATTCCATCCATCTCTTCCATTCTGTAGTGAAACAACATTTTCAGGGGAAAGGGGTCTTGCTTGATTCGTGACACATTCGGTGGGCCTTTTCACACTGAAAACAATCCCCCAGGTGTGAAGACCAAAGTCACCCAGCAAGCTTCCAGGGCACAAATGGGGATTCGAACCTGGGTCTCCAAGTTACTAGTCCAATACTCTTAACCACTGCACCCCACTGGCTCTGAATCGCTCTGAACGCCAAAGCCACATGAATTCTGTGCTGGATCAACGTCATAGGAAATCATGAGACTACTTTACCATGGATAAGATTTCAGACCACTTCAGCTTCTACAAAATCCCCTTTATCAATCTATTTTTACTTAGAAGAAGAAGAAAAAGAGAAGAGATTGGATTTATACCCCGCCCTTCACTACCCAAAGGAGTCTCAGAGTGGCTTACAAACTCCTTTCCCTTCCCCTCCCCACAACAGACACCCTGGGAGGTCGGTGGGGCTGAAAGAGCTCTCTTGAGAACAGCTCATGAGAGAACAGCTCTGAAACAACTTGTAACTGACCCAAGGTCATACCAGCAGGTGCAAGTGGAGGAGTGGGGAATCAAACCCCGGTTCTCCCAGATTAGAGACCACACACTTAACCACTACACCAAACTGGGTCTTTAGCCCTGGTTCCCTTTTTTAAATTTCGTGTTTAAAGAAAACGCCTCAGAAACATCTATTCCAATTACTTACTCTTTCTGAGCTTGGTTTTAATGGAATCTTCACAGTGCTATGAGCGCAATTGATTTTATGTCACTTGCCAATGGTGGATATACTTTCTTTTGTAACTATGCTATACTGGCCTTCCTCTTACTCACTGGCTGACTGAAGTTTATTCTTAACGTTTTTAAAAGTCATTCTGTTCGTTATTTCACTGTAGACAGTTTTGTTGACTGTTTTTACTGTTATACGATTTCTTAAAATGGAAAATAACAAGTTAAAAAAATTCTGTGCTGCTTAATCTCAAATCACATGATGACACTTGTGTTTAAGAGAGAAGAAGAGAAGAGGAGATTGGATTTATACCCTGCCCTTCACTTGGAGTCTCAGAGCGGCTTACGAACTCCTTTCCCTTCCCCTCCCCACAACAGACACCCTGTGAGGTGGGTGGGGCTGAGAGAGCTCTGACAGAAACTGCTCTTTCAAGGACAGCTCTTGTCAGAACTGTGGCTTGCCCAAGGTCATCCAGCAGGTGCAAGTGGAGGAGTGGGGAATCAAACCCGGTTCTCCCAGATTAGAGCCCACGCTCTTAACCACTACACCAAACTGACTCTCTGACCAAACATAAAACGCATTCAAAAAGCAATGGCAGTAAGCCTACATTTGCCCTGAGAGCCAGTGTGGTGTAATTATAAAGTGCTGAACCTGGACATGGCTGACCCAGATTCAAATCTCCACTCTGCCTTGGAAGCTCACTGGGTGACTTTGGGCCAATCACACTTTCTCAGCCTAAACTACCTCACAGGTAGATTTGAGTCCAGGAGTACCTTAGAGACCAACACGATTCTTGAGGTATAAGCTTTTGAGAGTGAACCTTCACCAGATACCTCACAGGATTGTTGAGAGGATACAATGGAGTTTTATGAAGAAGAAGAAAAGGTTAGATTTATACCCCGCCCTTCACTACGCGAAGGAAGTCTCAGAGTGGCTTACAATCTCCTTTCCCTTCCCCTCCCCACAACAGACACCCTGTGAGGTCGGTGGGGCTGAGAGAGCTCTTTTGAGGACTGCTTTTGATAGAACAGCTCTGAGAGGTCTTGTGAGTGACCCAAGGTCACACCAGCAGCTGCACATGGAGGAGCAGGGAATCAAACCCAGTTCTCCCACTACACCAAACTGGCTCTCAAAACTGAGGAGCTTCGACTACTCTAAAGCGTGGCTCCACACGCCAGCCACCTACGTGTCAACTGCTTCTCCATCATCTTCCTCCTCAGCTTCGGATCCTCCTCCCTCGCTCTGGTCACCGTCATCTTCACAGCCTCGGCGGTCGCCCGTGAAATCATCGGGATCGTCGACGGGATCGAAATAATCTCGGTATTTGAGGTCACGAGCGCTTTTAAGCGGCTGAGGGAGACAGAGGAAAAAATCAGTACAAGGTTCAGAAGGGAACGGCTGAAGTTTGCGATAAGGTCAGAGCGACAATTATGGGGGAAAGGAACTAGGATTGAATAACCACATTCTTAAAATGGATTGACAAAATATGTGGCAGGGTATGAGCTTTTGTGAGTAACTACTTTCCTCCCCGGTGCTACTGGACCTGTTGCTCTTTTCTACCGCTGCAGACAGACTAACACGGCGACCCATCTTCACATCTATTTTAAAATGGACTGAAGAACGGAATGGGTTTTCACTAGAAGCAATGCCGCGTGAATTTTAAACTGTGGCCACTTCTGTTAGCTCTAAGCTAACCAAGCACGGGTGTGGCAAAAATGAGTCAATCCGCAGTTCCTCTGGAGAGTCAACAACACGGCAGAGAGGCCGAGGCCTTCCCCTGATGTTGCCTCTTGGCTGTGGGATTCAGAGATTGACTGCCTCTGAAAGTGGAGGTTCCCTTTAGTCACCACGGCCGGTAGCCACTGATGGACCTCTCCTTTACGAATCTGTCTAACCCCGTTTTCAAGCCTGTTGCCATCGCTACATCCTCCAGCAGCAAATTCCACATTTAATCGATTGCTGTGTAAAGTAGTATTCCCTTGTCCGTCCTGAACCTACTGCCCACCAGCTTCATTGGATGCTTTAGAGTTCCAGTACTTTGGGAGAGGGAGGAAAAGGTCTGTTTGTCAAAGGAGACACAGGCCCATTGACTCCAAACCTGTCAGCGTGGTTCTAAACATGCCATGCTTTCACCCAGACACAAATCTACAAAGCCACGTGTTGAAATTATAAACCACCCTTACAAACAGATCATGCATGACTCGGATAGTTATAAACCAGTGTGGTGTCCTGGCTAAGATGTCGAGCAACACCCTGGGGAGACCCAAGTTCAAGTCTCTGCCCACTGCGCAACTCCCTGGGTGACTAAAGGCCATTCAGTCTCTCTCAGACTAAGCAAAAAATGAAGGCAGAATTGTGTATGTCGCCCTCAGCTCTTTGGAAGAAGCGCAGGATTGTTTTAAACCAGCAACGGACACGTCCATCTGTCTTGCTCCTGCTTTTCTCTTTGTCACTTGACGAGCAACCAGACGGTTCATGGCACGGGGTTTGCATTCGAACCCAGGCCTCCTAGCCCGGCAAACGGGGTTTGCATTCGAACCCAGGCCTCCATTAACCACCACCCCACCCTGTCTATCTAATTACAGCTTCTATGTGGGGGGCACACGAGGGGAGACGAATTTGAAAGACTCGCCCTCCAGGAGTCTACAATCTCTCAGAACTTCTGAGCATGCCTGCTATCCTCCCCTTACGAGCCCACAACAGTTTTTAACTAGCCGCTTCTCAACTCTCTTACCTTCATTTTGGCTTCCCCAAATTCCACCTCCTCCTCCTCGTCATCGTCTTCAGAGAGCACCTCCTCAAAGTAATCAACTTCCTCGCCTTCGTCACCATCCCTGCCCTCCTCTCTGCCTTCCCTTTTCTCCGCCGCGTCCAGCGCCGCCTCCATCTCGGCCAGCTTGAAGAACCTGTCGTCCACGACGGACGCTTCCCCCATCCTCTTCACGGCGGCCTTCGGCAGCCGGGTTTGTCGCTCTAGCTTGTCAATGTCGAAGTCGATATCTGAATCCTCATCGCTGAACGCGGGGTCCGTCCTCGCTCCGGGTTGACGTCTCTTTTCTTCACGGTCGCTTTCCTCTTCCACGGGATCGGCATTGAGGTCCTCCATCTGGACTTCATTGTCCGTCTCCTGTTCCCTGTCCTCTGAGAGACGATCCTCCTCCATTTCTGGGAGAAGGCAGATGCCCTCCTCAGCAACGCTCCTAGCAACAGCGGCCTTGAAGTAGCCGAGGACCGCGTCATTCTGGAGTTCCAGCTGCTGCCAGATCTGCTCTTCGTCAAAGTTGTCTATCACCAGTTCTTTCAAGGGGCTCCCGGGAACCGTCTCAGGCCCGAGGGCCTTGTGGAAATCGTACAGTGTTTTCGTCAGCGAGTTGAGATCGGCAGCGAGTCCGTCCTGAACACTGAGAGGTGAAACGGGTAGTGAGAGGTTAAGTATTCAATGGCAGTCGAGCCACAGAAGACAGAAATTCGTCTGTCTGAATGACAAACGAGGCTGTCCGGGCCAGTTCTTACCCTCAATCGGTTCTGTATGTAAAACACATGCATGAAGCTGCCTTATATTGCATCAGACCCCTGGTCCATCACAGTCAGTATTGCCTACTCAGACTGGCAGCAGCTCTCCAGGGACTCAGGTGTCTTTCTTTCACATCCCTGCTAGGTCCTTTTTAACTGCGGATGCTGAGGATTGAACCCGGGACCTTCAGCACGCCAAGCAGAGGCTCTTCCACTGAGACACAGCCCCTCCCCAATCTTATAAACAAATCTGAAGCTGCCTTTTACTGACTCATACCCTCGGTCCAGCAAGGTCAATACTGTCTACTCTGTTTGGCAGCGGCTCTCCAAGGTCTCAGGCTGAGGTCTTTCACAACACTTATTACCTACTGCCCATCAGCTTCATTGGAGGCCCTCGAGTTCTCGAAATTTGGGAGAAGGAGAACAAGTTCTTTAGTTGCAGATCTTCCAGACTGTATGGCCTACAATGTCCTACAATGCCAAGACCACAGCCATACAGCCCGGAAAATCTACAACAACTAATGAACTCCAGCCGTTAAAGCCTTCGACAACATAGAGAAAAGTTCTCTTTGCCAACTCTCTCCATGTAATGCCAGTTTTTAAAATATCACTGATTTATAACCCGCATTCGTCATGGAGACTCAAAGCGGATTACAGAGTGCACTGAGAGAAAGGAAAAGAATTGTGATCACATGGTATAGGGCATCCAAGAAACAAGCCAAAAGGATACAAAACTGCATGGGAATAGCCAGCTCTCTTCATATCCCCACTCTGTCTTAAGTCCTTGTACATTTTTGTAAAGGTTAGCCTTTGTAAAGATTTGTATCCAACTTGCTTTACACTGAATATTTTCTTAATGTAAAAAAAAAAAAATCCTCAATCTACCATCAAAACCCCTGGGATTACTTTGAGCCTGTCCACACCTGATCCACTTCCCAAGGTAAGAGGAGAGATCCACCTACACCAACTGGACTTCCATGCAGGAAAGGTGAGATAAAAATTACAATCGGGTAGACAGGTGATCTCGAGCTATCTATTTACTTGAAAAGAAGACGAATCTGCCCCAACCTGGATAGCCCAGGCAAGCCCAATATTGTCAGATCTCAGAAGCTAAGCAGGACCGACCCTGGCAAGTATTTGGATAGGAGACCTCCAAAGAATATCAGAGTCGGGAGGCAGACTATCACCCCATTTCTCTGAATGTCCTCCATATACCCCAGCAGGAGTCGCCAGAGGTCGCCATGACTTCCAGGCACACACACACAAATATATGCAAAAATACCAAAGAAGAAGAAGACGACTCTGAATGTAAGACACCCCCCAAATATCACACATAAATTTTATTATTGCAAATAATGCATGCCAATGTAACACACACACACATGGAATATCTGAGGGGGCACACCTAGTCTTGCATTTGAGTAAATGCAGACTACCTCGCAGGGTTGCTGTGCAAATAACCCTCCTGCAAACCACCCTTGGAGAAAGCGCGATCCTAGGCAGAGATGGGGAGGAAGGGAATCAGCTGCGCACCCCTCTTCCAGGCACGTGCGAGCGAGAAACGGGGGGGACTCGGTTGCCGTCACCTGAGGAAGCGCTCCGGCTGGGCCGCGGCAGCGTTGAGGGTCTCCAGGCACCGATCCAGCCGCCCGCGTGCAGCCGGAGCCGCCGATCCACTCGCGGCCATCGTCGCTGCCTCACCCGGCTTCCGGCGAGCGTCAGCGCTGGCGGCGTCCGTTGCCCAAACGGCTCCGGCCGGGAACGCGCAAAGCGGAGAGAAAGGTTCCGCTCAAGAAACGAACGGGCGGGGACGGATCGCTTTTGGAATAGAGATGAGAAACCGGTTCCCTCTAGGACCCGGCGGCGGCCTCTTCCTGCTCCGCGTCTCTCCTTCCACAACCTCAGGCATTTTTTCCCCTAGAGCACGCTGTATGTCCCTCGCCGGCGTCCGTCCTTTTGCCTTCGTTTCGGCTTCAGAAGAGCGGCGTTCCGTAGAGTTGCTCGTCGGGACTTGCCAGGCTCAAAGATGGCGGCCTCCGTACGGACGCTGGCAGTGGGTATGTGTTTTTCCCCTGAGCTGACGGGCGGGGGGCGGTGTGCTGCATGCCAGACCCTTCCTTGCATCTGGGCTCGCTTTCGCGAATGCAAACTGGGGCTTGCATTGCGCATCTGTAGCCCCTTTCACTCTTTGGGTGAAGAAGGACTTCCTTTTATCCGTTCTAACCCGACTGCTCAGCAATTTCACTGAGTGCCCACAAGGAGTTCTTGTATTGTGAGAAAGGGAGGAAAGGACTTCTTTCTCCACCTGCTCTTTCCCATGCATAATCTTAGAAACCTCGATCATGTCACCCCTCAGTCGTCTTTTCTCCAAGCTAAAGAGCCCTAAGCGCCTTAACCTTTCTTCATAGGGAAAGTGTTCCAACCCTTTTATCATTCGAGTTGCCCTTTTCTGCACTTTTTCCAAAGCTATAATATCCTTTTTGAGGGGTGGTGACCAGAACTGTGGAGTCTATGGAGTTATACCCAGCTAATGTCCAAGCCCTCCCCGGGCTGTACCCCCCTCCCCAAATCTCCAGGAATTTCCCAACCCAAAGTTGGCAACTATAGGCTGAGTGCATCTTCTCTCCCATGTGCGGGCATTAAAGTGCATGGACATTAAAGCAGGTTGCAGCCCCTTCCCAAACACTGCAGAAACTGGAAAATACTGTGAGTCATTCAGGTGGATCACAGTGTTGGTCTGAAGTAGCAGAACCTGGTTGGAGTCCAGCGGCACCTTGAAGACCAACAAAGTTTTATTCACGGTATAAACTTTCATGTGCGTGCACGCTTCTTCGGAGTTATTGGTCATGGCATGCCCTTGCTCAGTGCCCTTGATCCAATATGCTATTGTATTCTCAAGTTTGTATTCTCAACCGGGTTTGATTCCCCACTCCTCCACTTGCAACTGCTGGATGACCTTGAGCAAGCCATAAGGCCGGCGCCAGCTTATTTTGCACCCTAGGCAAGGATCCCTCCCCCCCAACTTGTGCGCCCACCAATTGTCAAAAGTAAATGCATTTTAGGAAGAATGAAAAACACAAATACTCAAGAAACTCCCAGAGTACGGGGCCGGGTTCAGTTTGGTGCCCCTAAGGGCCGTCCCGCTCTAGGCGATCGCCTAGTGAGTGAGCCGGCCCTGCTGTCCTTGAAAAAGAGCCGTTCTCTCTCAGAGCTCTCTCAGCCCCACCTGCCTCACAGGGTGTCTGTTGTGGGGAGGGGGAGGGAAAGGAGTTTGTAAAGCTGCTCTGAAACTCCTTTGGGTAGTGAAGGGTGGGGAATAAATCCAATCTCTTCTCTTCTTAAGCTTTTTTTTAAAATAACCTCTTGAAGGGTAGAAATATGCTTCCTTTATAATGAGAAGAGCACACGGAGGGTCTCATTCCTTAGTCCACAGATATCTGACAGAGAGAACTTTGGCTTTTGAAAGCCGATCAATCTTGTTGATTTCTGAGTTGCTACTGGACTCAAATTTAGGTCTTCTACTGCAGAAGGACACATCTGCCCTCTGAAAGTTATCGTGTCTTAACTTTTGTATTCTGTGGTATAATTGTGGCCATCTGGATTTCTAGATCCCTTGAAAGTATTCTTTTGCCTTTCTCTTTGATAGAGAGCCTTCCTGCATGCTATCAAAGTTACCTGCCTTTCGCCCTAGATGTAGCTGCCCTTGAATAATAAGCGGCTCTCTAGGATGTAGCTATCTTTTAAATAAAAATAGATCTCCCCCCCCCCAATCCTGGTGATGTGAATCATTATGCAATTGTGGAGGGTTGCATAGAAGCCAGGATTTCAGCATGGGAGTGATAAATAGAAGCAGAAGAAGGACTGTTCAAAGTCTCCACTTTTGGCAAACTTAGCGCCCGGTTTCTGTTCCAACTGAGTATTTGGTGATTAATCATCCACCGTTGTTAACTGCACAGCTGGGGAATTTCTGGAAATAGACCAGATCACCTTGGAGAAGTCGTTTTGGGTCCAAATAAAATTTCCTTTCTCTCTTTTCTGGGACAGATGCAGGAGTTGGGTAGGGGGTATGGCTCAGTGGTAGAGCATCTGTTTGGCATGCCAAAGGTCCCAGGTTCAATCCCCAACATCCCCAGTTGAAAAAGGACCAGGCAGGAGGTGATGGGAAAGACCTCCGTCTGAGACCCTGGAGAGCTGTAAAGGGGGTTGTGGTTCAGTGGTGGAGCCTCTGATTGGCATGCAGGAGGTCCCAGGTTCAATCCCCAACATCTCCAGTTGAAAAGGCCCAGGCAGTAGAGAGCCTGGTAGCTATGGTGGGCTTTTGTGGGCTCTCCACCCTTTTTTTAAAGGCACAGCCTCACAATAATTTCTTCTATAAAGGTTCCCCCCCCCAATTGTTTTTAAACATTTTTAAAAGGTGTACACTTCTGGTGGGGAGGGTGGGATATAAATTGAATGAGTGAATGAATGAGTAAAATTTAAGCACTGAGCAAGGGGGGTTGGAGTAGGTGACCTCTAGGATCCCTTCTAACTCCATGTCAAGAAACTGGTCACCTTGAAGAGAGGTTTTCTGCCTGTTCACTTTCTTGACTATAGAACTCATCCCCCCCACCTGCCGGCTTGTTCTCAGAATGGTTGCTTCAGCTGGCAGATGTGATTAACTTGCAGCAGCTGAGAACTGTTGACAGCTTGCAATGTAGAGATCTGTCCTAGTCACAGCTTTATGTTGGCTCAATGGCTTTTTTTTTCTGCACTGAGAACTTCAGCCTCACCAGGGGGGGGAAATGCCCCACAATCCGCAACATCCCAGCCTCCGGGCTTTCCCTGATTGTAGGAGCTGATGTTTCACCAGCAGCTGTGACTGGCATCCCCAGAAGTATAACACCGAAAGACAGAGTGCTCTCTGTGTCAAGGTGAGAAGAAACATGGTGGGAAGGTAATTTGTATCTACTCAGGAAGGTGGGGTAGGGCTGAGTCATTATCATGCAGGAATTCCCCAGGCTGTGAACATTCTAGTGGAGGAGCTTTCCTGAGGAGGTTCTTTTGTGTATGGATTGGCTGTTTCCTGAGGAAGTGACTGTTTCCATGGACTGTTTCCTGTTTCCTGAGGAGGTTCTTTTGCATGTGGATTGGCTGTTGAAATTTCTAAATATTTCTTTCTGTGTTATACCTCTGAGGATGCCAGTCACAGCTACTGGCGAAACGTCAGGTCCTGCAATGCCAAGACCACAGCCAGACAACCCGGAAAATCTACAACAACCCATTCTGTCTGTTCGCTCAGAGATGCTCTTTAGCTCTTGACGGGCTCCTCTAGCTGCCTTATTAGTATTTGGTTTAATTATTCTTGGCTAATTAGCATTAGCATCGTTAGCAATCGGAGCCGCTCCTCAAATCCCTGCACGGATTATTCCCCCTTTCCAGTTGGCCGGGGAGAGCTTGGACTCTTCTTCCCCTCTCTTCCCAGTTTGGACGAAGCTTGCAGTTTGGGGGGTTTTCTTTGGCCTTACCCATTTGTGGCTTTTTCCTGGTGAGCTCTCTGGCCCTCCCAGAAAGGGATTCTCCGGACTGCAGTTTTTGTCATGGTGGCTGCGGGGGAATGGGGGGGACACACACACAAACCGAATGGTGTGGGCACTCTACTGGGGAAGCTAATGAGCAGCACATCTTGTAGCGCTAATTGAGAAAACCTTTCAGCGTGCATTTCGAAGGGGGCCCTGGGGACGGAAGAACCACCCCCCCTCCCCTGTTTTTAATGCAGGACGAAGAACAAAGAATCTGCTTTGCGCCAGAGTAGTCTAGGGTTCGAATGCTATACTGTCCTGTTCCTTGTGAAGATTTATTCAAATGCTGTTAGCTTGGTAGGAGTCGACCACCCTGGTCTGCTTATTCTGTACCGTGGGCTACGAACTACCCAACTTGGGGCCCGATGACATTCATTTATTATTTTATTTTTTGCCATTTTTAATCTCACCCTGCCCATAAGCAGGATTGGGGTGGCCGACATCATATCCTAAACAATAACAATCCCATGAAACAGTTGGCTTTGGGAACTCTGTCCTGAAGCGGAAAATGAAATGCAAGAAACCTGACAACAGCGCAGTCCTGGAGTCGTCTCTAATGTAAAACGTAGAAACCTATTCCACCATATTAGCATTTTAACACATTAGAGCCAGTTTGTTGTAGTGGTTAAGTGCGCGGACTCTAATCTGGGAGAACCGGGTTTGATTCCCCACTCCTCCACTTGCACCTGCTGGATGACCTTGGGCAAGCCATAGTTCCGTCAGAGCTGTTCTTGAAAAAGAGCAGTTTCTGTCAGAGCTCTCTCAGCCCCCCACCTACCTCACAGAGTGCCTGTTGTGGGGAGGGGAAGGGAAAGGAGTTCGTAAGCCCCTCTGAGACTCCCTTGTTAAAGTGTTCTAATGTTCCATCTTATAAAGTGCATTGTGTATTATTCATAATATTCTAAAACAGGTATATATTCATTACATGCAATATCAACTATAATAATCAGTTTGTACAGTAGGAGCTGCGGTGGCTCAAGTGGTTAAGACGCTGAACTGCAGGCTGTGGAAGGTCAGTGAAAATCGAGACCCGGGTGCCGCATGATGGAGTGAGCTCCCATCTCTAGTTCCAGCTCGTGCCAACCTAGCAGTTCGAAAGCAAGAAATTGCAAGTAGATAAATAGGTACCACTTCGGTGGGAAGGTCACAGCGTTCCGTGCGCCTTGGTGTTTAGTCATGCCGGCCACATGACCACGGAAACATCTTCAGACAGTGCTGGCTCTTCGGCTTTGAAATGGAGATGAGCACCGCAACCCTAGAGTCGGATTCGACTGGCTTTCGAGCAAGGGAACCTTTACCTTTACCTTACCTTTACCTTACGTTTACCTTACAGTCGAATAGCTACATGGCCACTGTTTGAGACAGGATGCTGTGCTAGATGGACTCTCACTGGTCTGATTCAGCAGGGCTCTTCCAAAAAGTTCTTATGAAGGCCTCAGCCTCTGTGCCCTGTTGTTGGCCCTCCAGAGGAACTGGCTGGCCACAGTGTGAGACAGGATGCTGGACTGGATGGACCACTGGTCTGATCCAGCAGGGCTCTTCTAATGTTCTTATGAAGGCCTTGGCCTCTGTGCCCTGTTGTTGGCCCTCCAAAGAACTGGTCAGCCACTGTAGGAGACAGAATTCTGGACTAGATGGACTATTGGTCTGATCCAGCAGGGCTCTCCTGATGTTCTTATGACTCTATGGATCCCTCCCCAAATCTAGCCTTCCCCAGGCACCGCCTCCAGATCTCCAGGAATTTCCTAACCCATACAAGAAGTCAATCAGGTAAAAGAAAACCTGAGTTCGAATCCCCGCTTCTACTATGGAAGCTCACAAGGTGACTCTGGGCGTGTCACAATCTCTCAGCCTGGCCAACCTCACAGGGGCGTTGTGAGAAAATGGAGGAGAGGGGAACGATCTTCTAAGCCACTTTGAGTCCCAACTGACGAGGAAAGTATGAACTAAATAAATAAGTGCAAAAACACAAAATGCATGGAAAGACCCAGGCGGCAAAGGGATTCTTCTTAAGAGAGCCAGTGTGGTGTAGTGGTGAAGAGTGTCCAGCTAGTATCTGGCAGTCCCTTGTTCAAATCCCCACTCATACTGCGGAAGCCGGCTGGGTGACCTTGGGCCAGTCACAATCACCCTCTAATCTGAGTTAGTGTGAGCTAGCTCACAGTTTTTTTAGCCTCTAGCGCACACATTTTTGTCTTTGCTCAGGAAGGATGGCTCCAGAGCAAACTAATTTATGCAGTAGCTAAATCGCTTGCTTTCATGCCAGTAGCCCACAAAGTAAAAATTTTTGCTCACAAGACTCCACAGCTTAGAGGGAGCATTGCTCACACTCTCTCAGCCTAACCTACCTCGCAGGGTCATTGTGAGGGAGGAAATGGAGGAGAAAAGAATGATGTAAATTGCTTTGGGTCCCCCATTGGGGAGAAAAGTGGGGAATGTGTGACAAATCAATCCATCAAATATCCTGGTTTCCATTTATCTTCTCAGGGCTTCTTTCCCGGCTGCAAACTGCCGCTCCGACGGTACGAAGGCTGTCGGTTTCCCATCCTTTGGCCCAGAAGTCTCCGGGGTGTTTGTGGAAACTGGGCCGTCTGAACCATGTAGCCATCGCAGTGCCGGACTTGGAGAAAGCCAAGCTTTTCTACGAGGAGGTGCTGGGAGCCGCCGTGAGCGAGACGGTGCCGCTTCCCACACATGGCGTCTACACGGTGTTCGTAGATCTTTTCCCATCCTTTGGCCCAGAAGTCTCCGAAGTGCTTGTGGAAACTGGGCCGTCTGAACCACGTAGCCATCGCGGTGCCGGATTTGGAGAAAGCCAAGCTTTTCTACAAGGAGGTGCTGGGAGCCGCCGTGAGCGAGACGGTGCCGCTTCCCACACATGGCGTTTACACGGTGTTCGTAGATCTGGGGAACACCAAGCTGGAGTTACTGCACCCGCTGGGAGACGACAGTCCCGTGGCCGGCTTTTTGCAGAAGAACAAAGCCGGGGGAATGCACCACGTCTGCATTGAGGTATTGAATCTTCTGCGTCCCGGTTTTCTTTTTCTTTAAAAGCTTCTTTCTCCCATTTCAAATAATCACACCCTTTGTTTCCCGGAAAAGCAAAAAACAAGTCGTGCGTCATCTGGAACTCTCACCTGTGGGCCCGCATTGGAATCCCAAAATAATGTCATATGCATCACACTGGGTCTCAGTGGTTCTGCCATGTTGTTTTCACAAAAACGGTCATAAACATGCAATTTAAGCCCATTTCTTAGTGTTACCTCAGTTTCCCATGAAGTTGAACAAATTATTATAGTATTTGTATGTCAATCTCTTCACATTCAATGTTGTATTATTGTATTGTATGATGTTATAAACAAAATAAAAAAACTTTAAATTTAAAAAAACAAAAAGCCCATTTCTCTTTTCAGGTGGACAACATTAAAGACGCCATCGCAGGCCTGAAGGAGAAGCAAATCCGTGTGCTGAGTGACGAGGCGAAAATAGGCGCCCACGGGAAACCCGTCGTTTTCCTCCACCCGAAAGACTGCGGCGGGGTCCTCGTGGAACTGGAAGAGGCCTGAGCAGAAAACCTGGCTGCGGGAACCGGACATTAACAGCCACCCGATGGAGCCGTGGTTCAAATTCTGGCGGTGCGTTTAAAAATCAGAACTCTTGATCGAGTGGCTGGTGGAGAGCACTGCTATCTTGTGAATGAGAGAGAAAATTAAAGTCGGAGTGACTTTTTTGGGATGTCGGGGCTTTCCCCCTCTTCCCCTCTGGGAAGCCACTTTGCCAGTTGAACCTACCCAAATAATCTTTCCGTCTTTCAGGTGGTTTGGGAACGCATAGCTGCCCCGTGACTAGAATGTATGTAAAGGGTTCCCTATTTGCCTGGGCATAATTTTGCATCCAGTTAGTAGATTTCTAGGTCATCCCGCTTTTATTTTGCCCTACATTTGCAAACCAGAAAGCGGCAGTTTTCTTTTTCAGTCCCCTGCGCCAGTGTTCCCTTAAGGAATCAATCAAGAAGAAATGGTCTTGTTTCCCGACATCACCATTCCAACGGACCGGCATTGATTGGTTCCCTCAATCGGTCTCCTTGCTAATAGGATCCGCGTATGGGTATCTGGGATTGCTAAGTAACTCTTCTCGAGGGCAGTCGATAAGCCCCGTATTTGCAAGTTCCCATTTTGGGTTCCTAATCAGAAATGTTTTAGATGAAACTTGGGGATCGCGAAGGGAGCGGCATTCTATTTTGGAATGCTGGATTGTCAAGCGCCTCATTTACGTGCGGCATTCCATTTTGGAATGCCGGATTGCCAAGCGCCTCATTTACGTGAGTTTACGTGTTCTTAATGGTTTCCAATTATTTTTAATTGCCCACAAACCTGAGGTCCCTTTTGACTAGTTTTAACAGACCGGACCGGTGCAGAAAAAACGTGTTCTTTGCTCTCGAGAGCGCTTTGGTGGTCTACAGTTTTCGTATGTAAAATTTCAGTTTTGGGGGCTAAAAGTGTTTAAACCTCGGTGTCAGTGTTGCGCAATTGTTCAGTTTTCCTGCAGTCCTTCATTAAAACAGCGGCAGAGGTTTCGAAGTCATACATCCCCACCTCGGATTTCATTTAGACAAACAGGCCTGCGGTCACAGACACTGAATAATTCACTTTCAATCCACTTTCGGTGCACTTTCCAACTGGATTATACTATGTGAACTGGCAAGATCCAGTTGAAATGTGGACTGAAAGTGGATTGTTGAGTGGGCCGTGACTGCAACCGCAGCCTCATAAAATCTTGACCAGGGACCCACAGTCTTTCTGTGCACGTGAGCAGCTTTGGAATTTAGACACGGAGTGGTGGGCACCACAACGAAACGGCTGCCACCAGAGATGCAGCCGACCACAAAATGCCAGAGAGTGAGGCTATGCATAACCCTTGTAGGAACTCTTCAGCATTTCAGACAGAAGCTCACAAGTTCTTTCAGTTACAAATTCTGTCAGAGCAGTTCTCTCAGGGGCAGTCCTCGAAAGAGCTCTCTCAGTCCCCACCTACCTCACAGGGTGTCTGTTGCGGGGAGGGGAAGGGAAAGGAGATTGTAAGCCGCTCTGAGACTCCTTTGGGTAGTGAAGGGCCATGGGGTATAAATCCAATCTCTTCTTCTTCTTTTACCTCACAGGGTGCCTGTTGTGGGGAGGGAAAGGAGATTGTAAGCCACTCTGAGACTCCTTTGGGTACTCAAGGGCGGGATATTAATCCAATCTCCTCCTCTTCTTCAGTTTGGTGTAGTGGTTAAGTGTGCAGACTCTAATCTGGGAGAACTGGGTTTGATTCCCCACTCCTTCCCGTGCAGTCAGCTGGGTGATCTTGGGTCAGTCACAAATTCTCTTGGAGCTGTTCTCTTAGGGGCAGTCCTCGAAAGAGCTCTCTCAGCCCCACCTCCTCACCAGGGCGTCGTTGTGGGGAGGGGGAGGGAAAGGAGTTTGTAAGCCTCTCTGAGACTCCTTCAGGTAGTGAAGGGTGGGGTATAAATCCAATCTCCTCCTCCTCCTCCTCCCTTTTAATTGGCACAGCCAATCAGAAGGCCGGCTGGGCACAAGTCCTACCTGGCCCTGCCCACTTTCTAGAAACACTTGGTGGGCAACAGGAAACGTGTTGGTGGGGGCCATGGTGCCCGTTGGGGACTCATGCCCATGACATTTAGGCAAACGTGCATACAATAGACACTTTTATTGCTAGCCGTCTTAAGCAGACTCTGAGGAGGTGGCTTGCAAAGTATTTCAAACTATACATGAAATACTTCTGGAAGGTCAGCCTCTCTTGGACCTTGGACCAGTGTTCCCTCTAAGCTGCGTTAGTGTGAGCTAGCTCACTGTTTTTCAGCCTCCGGCTCACACCTTTTTGTCTTCGCTCGGGAAGGATGGCTCCAGAGCCAACTAATTTATGCAGCAGCCAAACCGCTCACTCACAACTTTCATGCCAGTAGCTCACAAAGTAGGATTTTTGCTCACAAGACTCCACAACTTAGAGGGAGCGTTGCTGGCAACCCTACAGAAAACCTAGTATGGTCGGGAGCAATGTTCCCTCTATGCTGTGGAGCCCTGTGAGCAAAAATTTGTGAGCTACTGGCATTAAAGTTGTGAGCAGGAGATTTGGCTGCTGCATAAATTAGTTTGCTCTGGAGCCGTCCTTCCTGAGCTAAGACAAAAATGTGTGAGCCAGAGGCTAAAAAACTGTGAAGCTAGCTCACACTAATTCAGCTTAGAGGGAACACTGGTCGGGAGAGAATTTTCAGTAACCCCCCCCCCCCTCTGTTACTTC